ACTTTTCTTCTTCAAATCATTCCGATAGCTACCCTTCTCGCAGGAAAACGATTTTTCATTGAAGGTCCTCGAGACGGCGATGGGCAATTTCTTGGAGCTTTTCTCCGTCGCCCGAATGTCGATGTAGCCGCACTTCTTTAAATCCGGTATAGTCTTGGACACATCGGCTGCCTCCATGAAGCCAATGTGTATCGTATTCTGGCGCACTCGCGGCATATCGAGCAGCACTGACAAGCGGGCGATGATGGCGATCAGCACAAAGCTGGTGAAGATCATGATAATCGGCCAGACATTCGGCGCCGTGTGGATCATTTTCTTGTAAAACATGGCCCGCATCCGTTGTCGAGTCAGTTGGGTATGCGAAACCACCTGGTACTTGAAAGTTTGAGCTGTGGGTAGGATAGTATATATTTATTATTTTCAACTGATATCCCCCCTTGAATTTCATTATTTCTTAATAATATTACACCCAAACCACGGTATACCAAATTTAAATGCCTAAAGTACAGTACACCCCAAGATCGTATAGTTAGGAACTCACTGACATCCGGTATCATCTGCTGCTGCAGTCGAAAGGAGGTGACCAGCTTCATATATATGTCGGAGAGTTCCGCACTCACCACTCTCACATTCTCGATGCCCAGCATCTTGCGATCGATTTCCAGGTGGATCAATAGTTTCTGCAGCCTGGGTCGATAAATCACGGGTAGTCTGTACGTTAGCGTATCGCCGATCTCATTTTCCGGCTCGATGTTGTTCATAAACTGATTGATATAGTCGGTAATGGGCTGATCCGGGACATGTGGCTTCTTGATGAGGACCTGGAAATATGTAAATATATTATTAAAAAATATTTACAATAGGTTTTAACGATAATTACCAGATCCACACTGCTGCTGAACTTGGCGCGCAGAAAGAAGGGTGTGCCACTGGCCTCCAGGACGCCCAGGCTGAGGATTCCGATGCGATCGGCGGCATGCTCCGCCTCGCCCACACTGTAGGTGGCTATGATGAAGGCCCGATTGTCCTTCTCGGCATTGACAATCGACCAAAAGACCTGCGCCTCCCGCCCCGTCAGCTGGGTGGTCGGCTCCTCCAGGATTATGATCCTCGTATCGCCGGCTAAACAGCAACACAGGGCCACCAGTTTCATGGCGCCCGAACTTAGCTTTCCAATGCGTATTCGCCGACTCTCGACATGCTGATCGAGGATGGCCAACCATTTGCGACGCTCGATTTCGTAGCGATCCGCTTCGTTGGGCGCCAGTTTTAACCGAACATGATAGTCGATGGTCTGCTCCACGGTCAAGTGCTTGTTGAGTCCGTGCTCATCGAAACGGAAGTCCACCATGCGACGGGTTTCACCTGTTTTGGGTATTTAAGGTTATGTAACAATAAATTTCTCTGCCGCTGCGCTGCCAGCGTTTCGACGCTCACGTACGCTGTCAGGCAGAAAATGCAGCTTCTTCTGTTATATAACCCTAGAAAATATTATAATATTTCTATACTTACCGTAGGGTTGAAAGGGCTGTCCCAAAATGGATACACTGCCGCGCAGGGGGAACTTCAAGCCGGCCAAAATTCTGAGTAGCGTGAGCTTGCCGGAACCAATGTGGCCCAGTATGACGTAGACCTCACCGCGATAGATTCGCATCGATATGTTCTTGAGGATCTTTCGCTCCGAGTCGCGATGTGTGGTGCTGACATGACGCAATCGCATCAGCTCCTCGCTGCCCACATCCCCAAATTCAAAGTTCTGAAAGCTCGGCGCTCTGCCCAAATACATAATCGAGGCATCCGAATCCTTTTGCTTTCGCGGCCTATTGTTCACTATCCGTCGACTGAGAAATGTGCCCGGCATTCGCCACTGAACAGCCAGCAAAATCAGTAAGTAAATCAGGGCCGAACTAATGGCCGATGTGAAGAGCACTACGAAATCAATCGTTTGGACAATGTCCGGATTATCGATGCAGTTCCGGAACAGGCTCATGCTAAAGTGCATCTGGCAGTTGCAGAAGGCCACCAGGATGAAGAACACATAGTACTTGTGGATGTCCCAGTAGCGTTCCAGAATGATACAGAATGCCGCGTACATGAAGAGCCACAAAAGCAGGGCGAAGAGGACCGCGTTGGTGGGATTGGCAAATAGTTTGGCCACCACCATTCCCGTAATAACGATCTCAACGGTATAGACCACGATGAAGCATATAAGGCCTATCGCTCCATAGCCGGAAAACTCCCCGTCCCGGCCACCGAACGCCCAGAAAGCCTTAATATATTCATAAGTAAATATAAACTTAGGTACGGCTACGTGGTTAGAACTTACCAAAATCATTATTACAAATACAGCACCCAAAATGAGCATTCTCAGGAAGAGCACCATAAACTTGAAGCCCCATTGCCGACCAAACGAGTAACCGTAATGCCACTGATGCACCATCACACCATCCTCCACCTGGGCAGCCACGTTCTGGGGAGGACACCAAATATTACTTATTAACATTCGTTAATACATTTGTATTCCAAATTTCACAGCTCTAAGGCAAACAGATCCCGAGATCAATGAGTGTAAATGTATTATGATATGCGGTAATGTATTAATCTTTTCAAAATACGTATTAATATTCTTTAATACATTTGTATACCAAATTTCACAACTCTAAGGCAAGCAGATCCCGAGATCAATAAGTGTAAATATAATATGATATGTGGTAATGTATTAATCTTTTCAAAATACGTATTAATATTCGTTAATACAATTGTATTCCAAATTTCACAACTCTATGGCAAGCAGATCCCGAGATCAATGAGTGTAAATGTAATATGATATTTAGAAATGTATTAACCTTTTCAAAATACGTATTAATATTCTTTAATACACTTGTATTCCAAATTTCACAACTCTAAGGCAAACAGATCCCGAGATCAATGAGTGTAAATATAATATGATATTTAGTAATGCATTAATATTTTCAAAATACGTATTAATATTCGTTAATACAAGTGTATTCCAAATTTCGTAACTCCAAAGCAAACAGATCCCGAGATCAAGTGTAAATATAATATGATATGTGGTAAACTCACCCTGATAATATTCAGGAAGGGCAGAAGGTAGATAAAGTTGTACAAGAACGTGGGCATGTGGGCGATACTCATCACGGAGCAGGGCTCGTCGGCGGCGTTCAGCAGGATGTTGTAGACCTCGACATTGGGTTCCGGATAGGTGGTGACAAAGTCGCCGCGCAATCGATGGTACCACTCCATGAAGATCTGATGCTGCAGCTGCAGGAATCCCTCGCGTATATACAAATCCTGCTGTTTATAGTGTTTGGCCTGATCGCGACCGGGATTAATGCGACCCGAGCAGCGGGTTATCCACAGGCGATCCTCGGTGAGGAACGGAGCGATGGTACGGAACTCGCTGGGGAAGCGAATCGAAATGGATAGCTTTAGGGGAGTACCGCCACGACTGGCCCCATGGAATACGATGCCCGCCAGGGTGGTTCGTTCGTCGAACTGATCCTGCATCTCGGACTCGATCCTATAGCCCACGGTGGAGTTCAGTTCCAGGGTTTTGGCCACGCTCCTGGCCACGTCCATGGTGAACGGCGTTTTGGGCGTGTAGGCCAGGCTGTACTTGGTCTTCTCTCGCTTCGAGTCGGCCATTCGTCTGCGGAATTTCGAAAATCATATAAGACTACATACCAATTTTCGGGTTTATAACTCCAACAGATCCTGAGATCTTTGGGTATCTCACTTACGTTAGTATGCTTATATCCTGAAGCTTGTGCGATACGATGCTCTGTTGATTCTCGTTCTCGGTGCTCGTGTAAAGAAGCCTTCTGGAGTGGGCGATGGGATTTAGCAGGATCACCAGGACCATTATCACCATGGTGATGATCTCGAAGAGCGTCCGTCGCCACAAATTCAGCTCGATTCGGATATAGCGCTTGAACAAAAGGCCCTTGGTGGCCGGCATTTTCCACTTTCAAGGTATGTATATAAGAAAACCAAAGAAATATTGACCTCTCACACCAAATAGATGGTGAAAAGGTGTTAAAACACGATGTTCGGCAGAGGATTTTGAATCTATTATTTAGTTTGCTTGAGCACAAAACAGTACTTTGTTCTCAAAGCACATTTTGATGGAATGCGTCTACTCATTTGGATAAGGGATCTCTTGAAATAAAGTTGGATCAATATTTCAATTTTTTGACCAAAATACTATTTTTTTGGGTGGAAAACCAAGATTGTGATTTTTGGTACTAATTTGAAATTTTTCCTAATCGATTTTTTGATGTAACTTGGGCAAAAATGGTCCCAAATTAAAATGGAGTACTGTTTTGGTCAACTTACGACCCCATAATTAATAACAGTGCACTTTTTGCCTGAATTAAAAAAATAAATATTTGACCCAATTTTCAAATTTTTGATAAGGGGTGACATCATAATTTTTTGCGAAAAATGGCAAAAATTAAAAATTTTCAGGTTGAAATGCCAAGCGATTGTTACGATCATTACGATCATTACGAGTTCAACGAGGTATGGCATTCCATATTTGGATCATTATTTCAATTTTTATGACCAAAATACTATTTTTTTGGGTGGAAAATCAAGATTTTGATTTTTGGTACTAATTTGAAATTTTTCTTAATTGATTTTTTTCTGTAACGAAAAATCAGAATCTGGGTATTTGTAATTTTTAACAAATTAAAAAATTGATCCCTGTCAGATTCTGGCTGATATGGAAAACAAATTTTCTGTTTGCTAATTTATAAACTATTTTAAAGACTATTTTAAAAACAACTGTTTAACTTTCCCTAAATATAGTCACCTGAAATCAAACAGTTTTTTTTAGCTTTGTTTAATAACTTTAGGTCAAGAAAAATTCAAATGCAACATTTGAATTTATAAACTGTATCTAGCTATTTTAATCGAATCGGCTATTTTCTCATATCGATAGCTGGCTAGTGCGATGACAGTGCGATAACAGCATGTGCCACCACAAATAATCAAAGAATGCCGAGTCATACGAAAAAGCAAAATTAACTCGAAGTATTTGCCTGAACAAACACGAATAATAACAAATTGAAGCGCAACAAAGAGTCGCAGGCAAAATGACGGTGACGAATCGGGTATGTAACACAGAATCGCCCAGTTATTTCGGCGCGGAGAACCTAATTAAATGCTTTTCGCAGATGGAAATCGAGTCGGCCTACCAAAAAGGCGAGGGATTCCGTTCCTATTACATCCAGAAGATCGAGGAACTGCAGCTGGTTGTGGCCGAGAAGCACCAGAATCTGCGGCGTCTGCAGGCGCAGCGCAATGAGCTGAATGCCAAAGGTAATTGCGGGTTTATAGGCTGCCGGAAGTCCCATATTACTTTGGTAGCTATGGAAAATAGACGACAAATTTTAGCGAAACTTGGTATGATAGCTTATTATCTTTGTTAAAGGCCATATACCAAAAATTGTGAAGATACCTCATGTACTATGTATTATAGAATCCCTGCATTGGTACATAGCCTAAGATTTTAGCGATTATTATGACTTTTAAAGGCCATATACCAAAAATTGTGAAGATATCATGTGTACTATGTATTCTAGATCCCTGAAATAGTATGGGATACAATATTTAGATTATAAAATAATGCAATCTCATATAATACTCCATAACTATACCAAATTGGAGCCCCTTATCCTTAAGAACCCATTATATTATGGTAGCACACGCATCCGATATTAATAATTCCCTCCCTTTGCAGTTCGCATGCTGCGCGAGGAGCTGCAGCTGCTCCACGAACAAGGCAGCTACGTGGGCGAGGTGGTGAAGCCGATGGACAAGAAGAAGGTGCTGGTCAAGGTGCATCCGGAGGGGAAGTTTGTCGTGGATCTGGACAAGAACATCGACATCAACGATGTGACGCCCAATTGCCGTGTGGCGCTGCGCAACGAGAGCTACACGCTGCACAAGATTCTGCCGAATAAGGTTGATCCGCTGGTCTCGCTGATGATGGTCGAAAAGGTGCCCGATTCCACATATGAAATGGTTGGCGGTCTGGACAAGCAGATCAAGGAAATCAAGGAGGTGATCGAGCTGCCGGTGAAGCATCCCGAACTGTTCGACGCTCTGGGCATTGCCCAGCCCAAGGGAGTGCTGCTCTACGGACCGCCAGGCACGGGAAAAACGCTACTGGCCAGGGCCGTGGCCCATCACACCGAGTGCACCTTCATCCGTGTGTCCGGCTCGGAGCTGGTCCAGAAATTCATCGGCGAGGGCTCGCGCATGGTCCGCGAACTCTTTGTGATGGCCCGCGAACATGCGCCGTCCATCATCTTCATGGACGAAATCGATTCCATTGGCTCGTCGCGTATTGAGTCTGGTTCTGGCGGCGATTCCGAGGTGCAGCGCACCATGCTGGAGCTGCTCAACCAGCTGGACGGCTTCGAGGCCACCAAGAACATCAAGGTGATCATGGCCACCAATCGCATTGATATTCTGGATCCCGCTCTCCTGCGTCCCGGGCGCATCGATCGCAAGATCGAGTTCCCGCCACCGAACGAGGAGGCGCGTCTGGACATCCTGAAGATACACTCGCGCAAGATGAACCTCACGCGCGGCATCAATCTGCGCAAGATCGCCGAACTGATGCCGGGCGCATCGGGTGCCGAGGTCAAGGGCGTCTGCACGGAGGCCGGCATGTATGCGCTGCGCGAGCGCCGCGTCCATGTCACCCAGGAGGACTTCGAGATGGCCGTGGCCAAGGTTATGCAGAAGGACTCGGAGAAGAACATGTCCATCAAGAAGCTGTGGAAGTAGACGATCCGACGAACCACCGCCGCGAATTCGAACCTTATTTCATTGTCAATAAATACACATATGTTAGTAACCTAAATGTTTGGAGTTATCATTATGCTTTTTAACTTAAAAATTGTAAGGGAAGTTACACAGAAAAAAAACCAATATGAAATAGGGGATTTTCTACCTTATTTCATATCAATAATATATCAATATCGATAAGATTTATTTCAAATTTAAGATTCAAACATATCAACATGATATTTTATCATGTATATGTTAGTAACCTAAAGGTTTTGAGTTATCATTTCTACCTTATTTCATATCAATAAAGAGCCGATATGATTTATGTCAAATTTAAGATTCAAACATTTCAACATGATATTTTATCATGTATATGTTAGTAACCTAAAGGTTTGAAGTTATCATTTCTACCTTATTTCATATATATAAAAAGCCGATATGGGCACTTCCAAAATGTCGCTCGGGACATTTGCACACCTTTAAAGTTGAAAAAAAATTGTAAGACAATGGATTTTAATTTTAATTATGGGCTTTTCTTTTCACTCTTCCCAAGCTCTATTTTTGGTAAAAATCTTGATTTTGTACCACTTTTAGTTTTTAAGCTATCGGTAAAAAACTGCCGTATTCGCTCGGGACAAAAATAGAAGTGGATTTCGGGGAAGTTCATACAACACCAGAAATTAGCGAATTCTGATGGAATATTTGAATGCGATTTTTTTTAGAATGTTGTTCAAACATGTCGCTGTGAAATGCTTTTGGTTTCACTCAAAAATTCTTTGCCGTTTTTTTTTTATGCAGTTTCAACCACATTCGCTCGGGACATGTCGCTCGGGACATTTTTTCCGACTGTTTTGTAAAGCGGGTTTCTTTACCTCTATCTCTCAATTGCTGGATGTTTTGCTTTTAACTTAATAGTTTAGTATGTGAATGAAGCATTCAGTACAGAAAAATGTCACATATTAGCATTCCTATAGGATAAATTAACAATAGAAGACAGGTCCAAAAAATAACAAAAAAATAGCCAAAAACTGATTTTTGCGTATATTGGTGGGGTTTATCATAAAAATAATCAAACTATACTCGAAATTTGTAGTTAAGCTCAGTATCCAACTAATTAGAAACTAATATCGGGGCAAAACCATGTGGAAATATGTTTTATTCAAGTTTCAAGGTTTTTGGCTTGGTGGACTTTTTTTTGGAAGTGCCCATATGATTTATGTAAAATTTAAGATTCAAACATATCAACATGATATTTTATCATATCATAAAAATACCAAATATAGTATTTTTTGAGCAAATAATATAAAAAAATATTAACATGATCTTTATTCATATCAAAATGATATGAATAACTTGATCTTTAAAAATTATCAAATTGACCATTACAATTTTTTTCTGTGTACTAAGTTTCTATCTATCTCTCTCATTTTAAAGCAAGCTATTGCCATTAATTTCCGTAAAAAAACAAACATGCTCACAGTTTTAGTACTTTTTAATACATTACATATTATGCATAAGCAACTTGACAACTTAAAAGGTTAAGAAGCGTACCGTTTGTGTATATGGATGTGAGAAAACCAAGCTTACAGAGGATTTATTCACAACATTTTACAGGGTTCTTCGCACCTAACAACTTAAGATTTAGGAGGCGGATCCACTGAGGCGCTCTCGCTCCGTTCGGAGCACCTGGCAGATCTGTTCATCGTCGGCCACGTCGTAGCAGGTCTGTCCATCGGAATCGCAGAGCTCCAGATTGGCGCGCAGCTCGAGCAGGCAGCGCAGAGCCTCCAGGTGACCACAACTGGCGGCATAGTGCAGCGGCGTCTGCTGCTCGGCATCCCGCTGATCGACACTCGCTCCGCTGTGGACCAGAAACCGAATGATCTCGACGGCATTGCGATCGGTGGCCCAATGGATGAGGGCCATGCCGTGTTCATCCAACTTTGCGAGATCTCCGGGCGCCAGCAGCTCCCTTAACCGCTCCAGATTGTTCTCCTTGACATGATCGAAGGGGGTCTTTTCGCTGTCCGCCCGCTGATCCTCCAGCGGCGCCGACTCAATGGAGTGCACCACCCAGCCGGGCTTGCGCTTCTCCCGCCAATTCGGCTGCAGCTCCTCCAGTTTGCGGACATACGACTGCCTGGCCTTCGATTGGGACATCTTGCCGAGACTCCGCCAAGCCTGCCACTTGCTGCGTGCCCGCAGCTGGAGCAGCCCGGGACTGGGCTCCTCGCACGAGCCCTCGGTGGCCTGTTTGTAGTAGCCGTAGAGGAGCAGCAGGTCGGCGGAGGCCAGGCTGCTCGTCTGCCTGGCCACATGCTCGGCGGCCAGGTGGAAGAGCTCCTCCTCGGGATCCGTATCGCTATCGGACATGTCGGATACAAATAATCAAAAAAAAATAACTAGAAAAAACTTATAAACTAAATGACAACTGAGGAACGTAGGGCTATCTAGGATTTCTGTATATTCAGGTAGTTGCCCTCCAGTATGTGCTTCTGCTCGTTCTCGATCTTCTCCAGCGCCGCCAGGCTGTTGAAGCTAACGAAGCCGTAGCCCTTGGAGCAGCCGGTGCGCTTGTCGAAGATCACGTTGGCGGACACCACGCGTCCGAATTCGCGAAAGTAGCCGCGCAGCTCCTGGTGGCCCACCGTCCACGGCAGATTGCCCACGAAAATGCGGTGCACTGATTTTCCCACTTTTGCTACAGCTGCGGCGGTGGCCATGGATGAGGTGTTTCCTATAGGGGCAGGTTCGGTTATTTTATGGTTGGTCAAGGCGGACTGGTTTCCCGAATTCGGACGACTCCTTACCAGTTGCGTTGCGTAAAAACTACGACGGCTTCTATTCCACGGTTGCTGTTGTTTTTGTACGCGAAGCGGGCGGACATAACCTCAAACTGTCAGCTAACAGCACTTTGGAATACCCTACAGGGAGAGGGTATTTCTGAACAGTGCCTCTATTTGACACTCAGTTAATAATATCATTTATAATTTAATAACCAATTAACCAATATTCTTTATACCTGTTCAATCTTCTAGAAAAAAACATTAGGAAATTGTTTCAAAATTATTTAAACAAATTATTGCCATGAGCTTACAAAGCATATAAATAATTTTGCTTGAAATTTCATACATTTAATAATTTAATTGAAACATTTGACCTTCTGAGCGTGATTAAATAAAGCTTATTAATATTACTTATCAATCATAGTCATAAAAAATAATATTTTTTAATAAAGAGTATCAAAAAGTGTGTGACAGCCGACCAAAAGCTTCCTTCATTCATGTTTCGTGCGCCTAACAGCACATTTCTTCAACTTAACAGCTCCAGTCAAACGAACTGTTAACCACATTCTGTAAAGCTGCAAAGAAGGCGCCAAAATTCGAAAAGAAAACACAATGGCTTGTTGATTTTGCATGATTTTGTTGTATTTTTTGTAATTGTTTTTCTGCTTTTGTGTTCCCTTTCTCATTTATTTCATTTACGTTTCATTTTAACAAATTTGCTACAAACTACTTAAAATTAACAACATCGCATACACGTATTATTCTCGTTTTCCTTGCAATAAATAAACAAATAGTGATTGTTGTAAATTTACAATACGATAGATAAAAAGAACAATTGGATAGGGTAGTTTTGGGTGTTTGGTAGGTAGGGGTGGGTAAAAGGTAAAGGTAAAGGTAAATGTTAAGGTAAAGGGGCGTGTGCAAGCATTCTTGTTGATTAGTTTAGTTTAGAGTGGTGTGTATTTATGCTTTTGGAAATAACATTAACTATGGAAGCAGTTTTCACTTGTTACTCTTTCTCTCTCGCCTTTCTTTTTTATTTTTAATCTTTTGCTGCCTTCCTCTGAATATCCTGTGATGCCTCTCGGATGATGTGCCACGATTTCTCAATTCTCAGACTAACTCGGTTCTCGTATAATTAGTGATTTGGCTCTCTAAACTCCCTATATATTATACTATCTGTCCCAGTCTGCGGCCCATTGCTACATACATTAATCTGATCCGATCCGATCCGATCAGAATTAATGGGATTTTTAATGTTCTTTGCTACTTGTTGTTGGCTCGCCTTACAAAATATAACTTTTGCTTTTGCCTTCTTCACTTGCTTGCTTGTTGTTGGTTGTTGTTTACTTTAATAGTAGTTCATAGTTGTTGCTTAGTTTTAGGTATATATATATATGTATATATATATAGGTATATAAATGTATATAACTCCCTCGAAAGACAAAAATCTTATCCTTAGAAAAGTGTTATGTTTGGTTTGCAAGCAATGAAACTCTTGAAAGATCTTCCGTCCGTTTTGTTTTGTACAGGAAACGAGGGCAGAACATATATATATGTATAAGTCTATACAGAATCGGTTACATTTAATAATTATCCATAATATAATGATGTCCAGGAAAGTTTCGTAGTCAACTAATTTGTATAATTATAAGTATTTTTGCTTCGCGTCTCGTCGTATCTTCATAAAAAACAATTTCACTTTCATAATAATTAATTGTAATCATGGTATATAGAAATTACAAGACTCTTGTTGTAAGTGGGCCTTAGATTTAATTTATAATAATATGATATATAACTTGACAAATTTGTTCTTAATGTTGTTTACTTCACTTTCTGCTTAACTTCACTTCTTCTCATCTCTCTCTCTATATATATATACTGTGTTCAAGAGTTTCCATTTGATATTATCATCAAAAAATATACACGCACAAAGAACAAACGAAAAAAATTACAAAAAAAAAGGTAAATAATAATAAAAATAGCTGGTCTACATATATCGACAAATATGCATGTTACAAAAACTTTAAATCTTAATACACAAAAAGAAAAAAAATCAATAGATTTCCAGATCTCCCAACCTATCCGCTAACTCCTCCACTTTCTCCACCATCTCTGTGTGTGTTTCTCTTCGCCCATCTGAATCTGACTGAATGGTAAACATAATAATAATGAAAAAATTCGTTAATGTGTCACAGCACCACCATGTTTGTTGTTAATTTCAGAAGGTATCCTCCGCTTGCCCACTCTCACTTCTCTGCTCCTCCTCCTCCTCCTTCTAAATAGATAAACTACACTAGCGACAGGCGGCCCACCTGCTACCAGAGGCGGTGCAGGTGCAGATTCCGCGACAGCACCGATCTCACGTCGTTCGTAAACCTCAGCGCATCCAGCATGGGCAGCAGCGACAGCAGCGCCGTGTCCATCGGGTCGGAGAACCAACTCTTTATGGGTATGGCATTGTTGGGGAAGCAGCGATAGGCCCCGGGCGAATTGTCAATGATGAATATCTGCAAGACATTTATTTTTTGTAATTAGTAAATGTACTATAAAAGGTATTAATATTATAATCATCAGATATCTTTAAAGGGTATTTTTGTTATCTTATCCCTCAGAGATCTTAAAAAGGTATTTTTTATTAGATCCCTTAACGATCTTAAAATGTTATTTTTATTATATCCCTCAGGGATCTTTAATTATATCACCCCCTTTGATATTTCTAAAAGGTTTTATTATTATATCCCATTAAGATCTTTAAAGGGTATTATTATAATATTATTATATCCCATGAAGATCTTTAAAAGGTATTATTATAATATCCCTCGGAGATCTTTAAAGGGTATTTTTATTATCTTAGAGATCCTAAGAGATCTTTAAAAAGTATTATTATTATATCTCTCAGAGATATTTTAAAGGTATTAATTATATCATCCCTCAAAGACCTTTAAAAGGTATTATTATTATATCTCTCCGAGATCTTAATTTATATCATCCCTCTGAGATTTCGAAAAGGTTTTATTATTATATCCCATTAAGGTCTTTTAAAGGTATTATTATTATTATTGTTCAGATTTAGAGATCTTTAAAAGTTATTATTACAATATCCCTCTTAGATCTATGTACATTTTCCATTTAATTTTAAAAATGTTATCGATTGCCATCGATCTAATTAGTTATCAAAATTTCGATTAAAACATAATATTTTTAAGTATCAGCTTCAAATGAATTTCTTTAATGCATGGTTTATATTATTTTAGTCCCAAGACTAGCCAATCTTACCCTATTTAAGTCACTGCAGATGGCCGACAGGTCCTTGGTATAAGATCCGTAGTCGGGCGTGCAGTGTTGTCTGTAGTATCGCCTTCGGAGGATGTTCCGTCCGTTGTCCAGCTTGTCCGCCACCGCCGCTCCGTAAATCTCCATGCTGGCCGTGAAGACCACCAAATCGTACCACTGCGAGACCTGCGAATTTGGAAATATTTATGAGTTAATCTCGCGATTAATGGGTAATCCCTTTCTTTTTCTCACCACATCCAGAAAATAGTCCACATGCGGTCGCTTGTGTACGAAGAAGCGCACTGGATTCCGATCGATCGTCACTTTCACGGTGAAATCGTGCGGCGTGCCCGGCTTGACCGTATTCCTGGGCATCGCATTGTGATGCGAGTGGATGAGCGTTTCGTCCAGGTCCAGAACGAGGGTCTTGCGCTGCACCAGGCTCAGGCGATGCCGCGAGACGGGTGACAGCGGGAAGAGTTCATATTTAACCGGTTGATACTGGATAAACTAAGGAAGTTAATGCATAATCAACGGAGCAGTACTTGAAAGGCATTCAACATGGGGTTTATATGTACAGTGGGTTTTTGGTCTTTATTATCTGGGGTTAAAGTGCACGAGGGGTGAGGGAGATTTAAAATTTTAGATCTCATTATTATTCATTAATGATTAATACATTTAACTGTGCTATAAAATCTCATTCTACAGGGAGTTTAATGATATTGGGCCAGATCTACATAGCTATATTATTTTATAGTGGGTTTTGGTCGTTATTATCTGGGGTTAAAGTGCACGAGGGGTGAGGGAGATTTAAAATTTTAGATCTCATTATTAATCATTAATAATATAATATAATCATATATTTAACTGTGCTATAAAATCTCATTCTACAGTGAGTTTAATGATATTGGGCCAGATCTACATAGCTAGTTATGATGTGGAAATAAAACTAGGAGGTCGAAGGTCAGTGCTTTTGCCGCGTCACGATTTCGGGCCAAAAAAAGTGCCGGCACAGTGGGTAACATTAAAGGCGGTTGGTCGATAACGCGGAGTGCACTTCTTGGGGGTGAAACGGGGGGTTCCGATGAAACAAGACCCATTAAACGTGTGCCGGAAAATATTGATAAGGCAGTTGTAACTGGCTAAGAGGTACAGTAAGTAAAATAAACCATTTTTAGTTTTTTTTTAATCAAGATATAATAAAAAAAAACTAACAAAATATTATGAATTACTGGGATTTTAATGTAAACATTTAAAAACCTAAAAAATCAATCACATTTACTGTGTAGAAATATCTTGAAGAGGTTCCAACATCAAGATAATATAAATAACAGCTTTTCTGATTAGATAAAAGCAAACTGGAGTTAAAATCAGAGTTAAAATCTTTTTTTTTTTGTTTACAACAAGCTAGTTCATAGGAAAAGTATTTCCCCATCATAATGATAAATTTATAAGGGCACCAAATCAATATTCTCCGTACACTATAGCGAGTGCCGACTGTATTATTGAGAGGCTTATCACTGCGGTGGCTTTTATTATTATTATTTTGTAGCAGTAGTACTTGTGTGCCGATTGCGGGAGCGGGTTGGGAATTATTCAAGTATTTCAGGGTTTCGGGCGGTTAAAAATAAAAGCTATTTTTGTATTCCTTTTTTTTTTTTTTGGTTTTTTGACTAATTTCTTCTGTACTTACAGCTCGCACTTGGCGATTGAACATGAAACAGATGCATGTCCAGACTTTTGATAGCAACAACAAAAGCGCATGGAATTTCATTTGCAGCAGCGAAATCATTTGAAATAAATGAACTATGTTGATTTTTTTCGCTTGTTTAGGGGGTGTTGGGGGGCGATTAATTCGATAAATCGACCACGATCGCGCGATTGACCGCGGTGCAAGCGAGACGGCACGATTTGCAACCGGCTAAAAAGATTCGATTCTCCTTTTGCTGTTACTTTGCAACCAATTGTTGTTGTTTTTGATAACGCGGCGAGAGCACACACCAACACACACACCCGCACGCGGGCGCGCTTCACACACGCACACCCTCCCCTCGAATAAAATCGATAACAAGGCTTCTAGTTTTTTTTGTTGTTTTTTGGTGGCAAAAAAAGTAGAGTCTCTCCCAATATTTCGCGCTCTTTTTGGGCTCCACTAATTATTATTTAGTTGCTTTCCCCCGTTTTTGTTCTTCTCCTGCGGGGGAAAATTTATTTCCACTTCTTTTTGGCTATATTTTTTTTTTAGCTGGCGTCTGCTCTTCCTCTTCCTATTTGTTGTCTTGCACACGCGCTAGTGTATGTGTGCGTTTTGTGTTTTTTATTTGATTTTTCGGCAAAATAGCAACACACACACACGGAGAGTAGAATATATCGGAAGCGATTTTTGGGGGAATAGATTTTTGGTTTCTGTTTTCTGGCCGAGAGGAGCTGAGCAAACGGAGTCAATTGATTGAGCTGCCTGCACTTTGATTGATGTCGTCGACCGAGAGGTGCGTGGTTCGCCTAAATAGTCCGTCGCTGCCGCGGGCTCTGCTCATAACTCTTTGGCGCTGCGGCGTTGCGTTTATTACATAAATATAGTTTGTCCGCGTTTCGTTTTTGTTTAACAAATTCCCTCATGCACAGTGTGACCAATTTGTTGCGACGCTGCGTTGCGGTTTTCATTTTGCACTTTTTGGTATAAAAATCGTTATCGATATTTTGCACTCAAGTGGTATTTTAAGCTCAAGTGCTGCTAATATTAATTTTAAAAACGAAAGTTCATTTTAATTTATTTTAGAAAGACATTCGCTTTGATAATTTAAAGGAATTATTAATTAATTTTAAATCCATCAAAAAGTAGCTTATCCTGGACACGAACCGTGGCGTAAAGCGTTCAGTGGGTACACCAACCGTGGGAGAAGCATAGGTTAATATTATTTTTAATATGCAAAAATATAATTTAGCCACATTCGTTCTACATAGTTTCTAATTATATTTAATTAAAAAAAATAAAGATAAGCCAATACAGCAATTTAATACCTATTAAATTACCTCATTTTCTTTTTAAATTATCCCGCGAACTAGTTCGATTTGATCGTTTTAGTTATCGCCCAACGGTCACACCAACACCCTCGCGCTCACACACGCACACACACACACACAGACGCAGTGGCTCGAAACGAAAACAATTATTTTGCATCGCAGGCGATAAGTTAAAAGTGAAGTAGACCGCACTGAAACCATGTCAGCGGCTGGCAGATCGGACGACGATCCCGGCCAGAGTCCACCGGTAGACCAGGAGCCGGATCCGGGGCCATCGACGCCAGCGGTGGCCGAAATCGCCGCCTCCAGTGTGAGTTTAGTTTGTATTTTTTTTTTTCGCCCTGGTTCTGCTTCTTCTTCCCCTTCTGGTTTTGGTGACGACGACGGAAGACACGTCAACTTTGGGATTGGGATTCTTGTTTACTTATCCCACTCAACGTTGTCTTTATAGATTCGTTCCGGCCTGGCCGAGCTGGAGCTGCGATCCTCCCAGGTGCTGCAGCGTCTGGAGAACGTCAAGGTTTCCTCCACGCCCGAGAAACTCAAACCCAAGTCCAAGCCAAAATCCCATGAAGATGGCGAGGATCAGCAGGAGCAGGATCAGCAGGATGAGGGGGAGGCGGAGGATCAGCAGGAGGAGGACCTCCTGCCGGCGGAGCACCGGGTGCCCTCGGATATCCTGAAATCCCTGGAGCAACTGGTCTCCTACACGGACAGCGATGACGATCCGGAATTCCCGCTGCCCGCTTTGGACGACGTCTCCCATCTGGCCCTCATCTCGCACAGCATTGTGGCGTACTTATCGCATCTGGATCGCCAGCAGCTGCTGCGGGTGACGAACAGCATTTCGGGCGATGCCACCAGGTGGCTGGGCACGCTCTTCCACTTTGCCCAGCCGGCGAGCAGCTTTCATGCGGACAACGCGGACGCAGTGCTGCGTACGGTGCGGCTGGCGATAGTGGCCAGGTGCCCGGGCTATCTGGAGGGCGGCATTCCCGCTTTGGCGCAGCCCACGTTCTACATTTCGGAGAACACGACGCCGGTGAGGCTGCAGTACGCCTGCCGGCAGCTGGGCATTCCGCTGGAGGCGATCAAGATCATACCGGAGCACAGTCAGTATGGGACAATGGATGTGGCGCTGCTGCAGAAGCAGATCCAGCAGGATGTGGCCAACAGCAGGACGCCGCTGCTGGTGGTGGCGGACATTGGCGCCTCGCTCTGCGGCTACGTGGACAATCTGCTGCGGCTGCGGGATGTGTGCAAGGCGCACAACATGTGGCTGCATGCCAGTGGCCATGGTCTGGCCGCCTTGGTCTGCGCCCAGCAGAATGAGGGCCACGTGGAGGAGGTGCTGCACTCGATGGCCCTCAATCTGGGCAGCTGGCTGGGCGTGCCCAGTCTGCCCATTGTCCTGCTGCATCGTCCGCTGCTGAACAGTGCGCTGAGTGCCTTCGAATCGGATCCCATTTTGTCGCGCCGCCTCAACGCGTTGTCGCTGTGGACGAGTCTGCAGGCGCTGGGGAGGAAGGCCATTGCCGAGCGACTGCATGTGGCCTTCCAGACGTGCAGCATTCTCTTCGAGATCGCCTCCAAGTGCGAGGGCATACGGGTGCTAAGTCATACGCCCGGTGCGCAGACAGGAGCCTCGCTATCGGACATCATCCAGAGCCCCTTCGATGTGCAGGCTCTGTTCGATGCCGCCGCCCCTGTGGTCGCCTATCAGTTCGATGGCAGCACCACCATTCCACTGGGCTCCTCTGCAGTCGCTGTCCCTGAAACTGCCGATGGCCTGAAGCCGCTGGAGAAGATCAACAATGCTTCCTACTTCGACCGGCTCAACTCGTGGCTGGGTCAGATCCTGCAGCGCGACTGTCCGAATGTAAGGATTGCCTATATATACTAGTTATCCCATTTAATAAACCTATTTCCCTACAGTTCGACTTCGAGGTGATCGAACATCCCACGCACGGCAGCTGCATTCGCTACTGCCCGCTGGAATTGGGCCTGGGTGAGCAGCCGCCGAGCTCCGAGAACCTGGAGAGCTTCGCCCAGAGTCTCGAGGCACATGTGGATATCCTGCGGGCAACGATCAAGCACAAGGCACGCTTCATCCATCTGGTGGAGCGCAGCGAGGTGCTGCGCTTAGTGCCGCTGCCCGAATGGGCCGGCATGGGCGGTGTGCGCTTCGTGCCCGAGGGCTGGGAGTCGCTGCTCACAGACCAGGCCAAGACCGAGCTGAACAAGCTCAATATCGATCTGGTGGAGGCCCTCAAGTCCACCGACAATGCCTTCTCTTTGGGCGAGGGCACCGATGGCCTGATCTGCGTGCGCTTCGGCATGGTCACCCACGAAACGGAGGTCGAGGAGCTGCTGGATCTGGTGGTCACGGTGGGCAAGAGCGTGCAGGAGAACTCGCGGGTATTGGACACCATGTCGGAGATTGTCAAGAAGGTTTAAGAATTTTCCTGGATTTTTTGTAGCACTTTTTCAAAATGAATTTTCGTATTTTTCTAGGGCATTGAGGCGGTCACCGCCGATCTGCAGCGCGAGTCGGAGGAGAAGCTCTGGCAGGAGGGCATCCTGCGGCATGTCCCGGTGGTCGGGCGCGTCTTCAACTGGTGGTCACCGCCGGCCAAGGAGTCGGGCATCAAGGGGCGCAGCCTCAATCTCACCCAAGGCGTCGTCGAGAGCACCGAGAATATATACAAGTAAGTATGGCTATCTATCTCTGTATAATATATTCGGGGTTCTAAAATTAACACACATGTGCAAAAACATGAGAAATTGTATTTTACAGTGTGAGCAAATTTGTTGACATTTGTGTCAAATACAAAAGTGTATACAGCTCACTTGTGTTTTTTACTCAATGTGTTTTTAACACAAATGAAAATTACATTTTTCGGAAAATGAAAAAGCAATTTAATGTCAAAAACTCATTGTGTTGAAAACACGCTGTGTAAAAAACATGTCGTGTTAATAACATGTCGTGTAAATAACACAAATGACATATGTGTGTTATTTATGTTTCTAACACATGTAGGATACAATTTTTTACACACAAGTCAATGACTTTTTTTGAACTTAACACTTTGACATTTAACATGTTAATAACACAAGTTTTTTATATGAATATATTATATAAAATATTCTTTTTATCCAAAAGGTACCACATGCAGATGACCGGAGCCACTGCCCATCAATTGCCAGCGAATCGTTCGCCACCCACGCCCATGGTGCAGACGCCAGTGGGCGCGCCCTCGTCGCCGCCCGTCTTTCCCACAGTGGAGCCCGTGAGTCCAGGAGTCCAGGCATCCGGAGCGGGTGAGGAGACGCCCGCTCAGGCGGATGCTGCGCCCACGCCCACTCAGAACCATGTGGATCATGCCCGCACTGTCAGCCAGAGCAGTGCCGCCTCCTCCAGCGTTCCCGAGCTCGTGGCCGCCAACAGTGCAATTAACAATAATTAATACCTATACATATACCTATACCTATATATCTATATAGAGATGGAGAGCAGGCAAAAACATTTAGATCAAGGCAGAGCCAGCAAAATGGATTTCAAAGCGGGAGAGGCCTTAAAAGCAGCAATATCAAACAAGGCTTAAACAAGAAACACACGTAGACAAAAAAAAACTGAACAGATTACCACATAAATATATATTTAGAAGGCTTCACTTCCACTCCCCCTACTTAAAAGAACGAAAAGAAAACAATTCCAAAGATGATTGTTCGCCCCGAAAATGATGATAACAAAAATCCAATTTAATTGCTTTATGTATTTATATTGCTATTCCAATGATCTTTTATATATCTCTACCATATATATATATTATATATTATTTTATCGTATACCTTAATCGCCCCACCATTATTGTTGTTGATTATGATCAGAAAGAAAATGCGAGAAAATTGATTTTTTTTGTTTTCCCTTTTTCACTTATATATCTTTTGCAATATTTTACTTTTTATTTTTACACATTTTTTTTTGTGTGTCTATTTTGTAATTTATTATTCAGATGCAAGTACCTTTGAGAGACATAATATATATAGGCAAAATTGTTCGATGTTCAATTGTGCGAAGCAATAAATTGCGCTATTCTTATTTGTTAAGAAGCTAAGTGACAGCAAACTAAAGAAATTAAAGCGAGAGAAGCAACAGAAAGTATATGATTAAATGACAAAAATATATTTATTATACAATTTGCTGCTAAATGAAAAGAAAACTGCACAAAATATAATAAAATAAAAAAGGAAACTATACAAAATAAAATGTGAAATAATTTAGAAAGAGAAAGCAAGTGGTTTTTGTATTATTATTCTGTAATATATATCTGTAATATCTCAACACAACCTACCTTCAATTTTTATCATTTGATTGGCTCCCATTAAAAAACAACTTTTCTCCATCTAACTAATGCAATTAAATTTTATATTTTTATTTTTATTTAATATTTTTGTTGGATTTTTTTTTAGCGCTTTACTTTGCCGCTATTTGCTTTTGAAAGAAATTCCTTCTCATTTCGCGAGAATCTCGGTTTTTGTCCCGGTTCATTCCCGATTCATTTCGATTTTGCGCATAAAATATTTTTTTTTCCCATTCCAAAACTTTGGTTTTCCCCGCTTTTCGGAACAGTTCCGATAAAATGCGACGAGGCAACACACTGCGGTTTCTGGAACTCACTTATTTAGTAGATTTTGTTTGTATTTCGTACTTCTTACAAGAATTTTTAAACTGTTCTTACGATTCGTTAGAATTACCTTTTGTCGTTCATTTTTTTGTTTTATTATTTTTACTCGTTAATTAATATGCCACTAAGCGCTTCGATTTATGCCTCTGTTCTTTACATTTTCTTTAACTATGCATACTATATATTTATATTTATATATATGTTGTACAACTCGATCTTATCTTGCCTTATTGCTGCTGCCGTGTGTTGAGCTTTCGAAAAAAAATGCAAATTTCGTCTTGGATCTCATTTTACCCATCCTGCATTTTGAATTCGGCTTTTGTGTTTCTTTCTTTTTTTTTAGGGATTTTCTTTTGTAATAACTACAACGCGTACGATGACAACATTTAACACAGAAATATATTTACGAACTAATTGTGTTATAGTTATATATATACGTGTTAAGGGAGTTTCAATCTGGGCTCGAAACTTCCAAGACAGAAACATAGCTTCCCAAGGGGTTCGTTTTTCAAAGTTTTCCAATCCATTACTTGGTACTTTCAATGGGGGAAGGGGTTTTTGGGTTCCGGATCCTTAAAGGATTCAATTCATTTATGTTTTTCGTTGCCCCCTTGAGAAGGTTTGTCTAGTTTTTGGTTTTTTTTTTATAACTGGTAATTGTATAATAAGCGAATAAAAAACTTGATTAGTTTGTTCCGTTTTTCTTTACACCATCTTTACATATTTACTTTAAAAATGTCGCTTGTGTTTTTTACGATTGAGTTAATTTCGATTTGAGTTCGAGTACCCGATTTTTAATTGTTAATATCTTACAATTGATCGTTTCAATGAGAGTACGCTCTAGTTTAGGGTTCGTTAATAGAGCTTGAAAAAGTATCGACAGCTTGCTATTTTTCGATATTTAATTTGTGTTTCCCCTTCAAGTATCGAAAATATCGATAATTTTCAAGCTCTATTCGTTAAGTGTATAAACTATGGCTAGATCGATCGGTAAATGTTGAGAACGTTCGCTGTATGGGCAGTGTTCGGGGTTCGACTTAGTTGATTGGCCACGTCCTCAATCTCAATCTCAAAGTTGGCCTCCGGGAATCCCTCTAAAAATGCTTCGATTATTCTTGCTGTGTTGCTGGTATATAGTTGTCGATAGGCTTAAGTATCTTGTCTATAACTATTTTTCTTTATAATATCTATTTGTGTATATATCGCGTGTGTGTATATATATATCTATATAACTTTGTAGTTTGGTTTGTCGGTTGTTCGGTTTTTTATTTATTTTTATGCTTTCTTTGAGGGGGGCAGTACTTTGTGTTAGTTTCATATTGCTATCGGTTCCATTGCCAAGTCGAATGTTCATCTCTCATCTATTCGGTTATTGTTTACGCTATTACTATATAATATGCCTTTCGTTTAGCTACTAAATATACAGTTAGCCCACTAAATATCTACATATATCTTTGTTTATGTTTAGGTTTAATAAATGCATTCCATGTTAAGCTTAGGTTAGATACACAATAAAATTGCAGGCTCAAATCCTCGATCGATTCGGCCCGCCAGTCCCGAACGATCTCCCATTTGGATCGTCCGCAGCACAACCCAGACCCAGGACAGAGTCGAGCACTAAACGGGGGATCCACCTGAATGGCTGTGGCTCGGGGATCACGTGATCCGTGATCCTATTCCATTTTCTTTGATGAGGGGGTCTTAACAATAGCAGTACGTGTCTTTGGAGTGCTTAAAAAATAATCGTCCATTAACTAATGTAAGTTTGGCATACTCGAGGTCATATCGGTTCGATTTTCTTATAACATAAAATAAGGAATGGCTCCTCATCGCCGCCATTAATATTATTCGATTTTGTAAACATTTATTTTAGGAGTAGGTATAAATGCAATCAGTCAGGAACTTAGGCCTTTAAAAGTGTTGTAAGCAAATGATGATTATAAAGAATAATTATTAAAAACCTCTGTAACTTGAGCATACAATGTAAAATATCTCGAAAATTGGAATGACTAGAGTTTGGAATATATATCACATATGCAGAAATTACAAAGAAAAAAAATTAAACTATAAAGGAAAGCTGAAGAAAAGGTAATTATGATAAATTCGAAAATTCGAGTTCGAAAATCGATAAAAATATTTTTAATGGAGCAAACCGTTTCAGAGCAACCCTGTTTATAAGTAAGAAATATCCATGAACCAAATTAGAACCTGCCACGCCCCTTCGCCCATCCATTCAGTTGCCCGTTGTCTACATAAAATTGACTCCCGACATGTGCCTAAAAATCTTTGCTAACGTTTCTACTACAGTTCGATTCTGAAACTTATGGCCTACGATCCGAATTCGATTTTCATTATTTTTGGTGGTTGTTGGTTTTTAGGTTCAAGTGTCGGTCTTTCGTTTCCAGTATGGTATCGTTTTTTCGTTTTTGTTTTCCGTTTTTGCGGTTGTAGAGGATATACAATTTATATATATACTTTTTATAGATTAATGTTGTATAATACAAATAAGTTAGCCCCCATAAAATTGTTTCTTCTTGACAATTTAGCGCATTAAAATTGGTAAAAATATGCTATTATCAAAAAGGAATAACCGTGTCCTAAATGGATATATATATATATATATTTATATATAAGTAATAGATCGCTGATATATGTTACATATGTCCTTCCGTCTGTCTGTCTGTGCGTGTCTAGTATCTGTGTGTTTATACCCGCTGCATCCCTTCTCTTTTTTTTTGGGTTGCTCGGATATAGAGTTCAGTGTATATAGTATGTACAAAAGTCGAAAAGCAGGATTCCGGTCTAGGATACGATTACGATACGATACGATACGTTAAATGCAACAAATCAAGAAGGAACACTCGCCGCTCCAGCAATCCTTAGTCCCATTCCGCCTGGTTTCCTCGATATATATCTATCCTACATTCGAATTCTAGGAAGACGCCCCGCTAATCCCAAGTCCTGACCAATTCCTGTCTTGTTTTTTTTTTCCGCCTGTTTTTCTGGTATTTTTCTTCGGTTTTTCCGGATATTATCCATCTTACAGCTCCGTAACCGCATAGTTGCTTTCGTCGGTTATCGCTGGCGGCGGCGGCGGCAGATCATCATCATCGTCCACCGCTCCTCCGCCGCCCCCAACACCTCCGCCACCTCCTCCTCCGCCTCCGTTGTGCAGGACCTTGCCATTGGCTGCGGGTCCTCCTGGTCCTCCGGGCCCCATTCGACCCTTTGTCGCCTCCGGCTGCGCCTCCAGCGGCGGCGGCGGCAGCGAGGTGTCCTCGTTGGCGTTTCCTCCTCCTCCTCCGCCTCCGCCATTCTGGAGGCCCGAGGGTACTCCTCCATTGGCCTCGCTCAGCGACTGGGCGACCGGCGGTGGCGGCGATGTGGGCGTTCCAATGCGCGGCGGCGGAATCGCCTTCATCTGCGGCGGCAATTTCATCGGCGGACGCTGCAGAGTCCTGAACGAATGTAAAAATTAAATTAAAGTTACTAAGCAATATTTTTAAGCTTATAACATTTTTGGTTTTAAGAAGTTATAAGAACTACTTACATATTCTATATAGTTTTACTATTTTCGTTACTTACTAAATTTTAGTAAATAAAATATATTAACATTTTTCTATGTAGTATACCAAAATTATACTTCTAAACATAAAAAGCTTTCGAAACAATTTTGGTTGTAAAAATAATAATAAGAATAAGAACTACTTAAATATTATATACATTTCAGTAAATAAAATAAATTGAAATTTTTCTATGTAGAACAAGTATACCAAAATGATACTTCTAAACACAAACAACTTACGAAACAATGTTGGGTCAAAAAATAATAATAAGAATAAGAACTACTTTCATATTATATACATTTCAGTAAATAAAATAAATTAAAATGTTTCTCTGTAGAACAAGTATACCAAAATGATACTTCTAAACATAAAGAACTTTCGAAACAGTTTTGATTATGAAAATAAAAATTACCTATGTTATTATATATTATGCACACTCAACAAAAAATAGTCATAGAAACTATTGTTACATGAATTCTACACTATTGAGTGTCAAATTTGCATCAATAAGATGAGTATTAAATGAATTCTCTTAAAAGTATTAAATTAAAACTTTCTGTAAAAAAATGAAACTACAAAATATTAAGTTTCGTATTTCGTATGAAATTAATACTAATGAGTATAGAATTTGTACTATTTAGTATTAGGTTTATACCACTTTTTTACACTACATATAGTATATTTTTAATACAACGCTTAGAGAGTTAAGACTTTTGATTTTTTTTTTGGGTGTACAAAACATTTTAAAAAATTAAATGAATGTAAAATATACATACCAAATAATATAAAAGCAATACAAAATAAAAACTACTTGTATTATTATATATAATTTTAAAATTATAGGTTTTGAGCTACTTTTAGTTATACGTATTTCCCCATTCATGGATCACATTTCAACCGTTCTCAACGCAGTTATGCAAGGCACTTAGTATTCTTCTTACTGACAGAGTGGCTCTTTAGCACAACACCTACTTGGAGTAGTTCTGGTGGTGGGCCTGCTGGCGCTGCTCGTAGATGGACTCCACCTTGGGCTGCTCCGCATCCTTGGGGATCTCCGGCAGCGGACAATTGAGTATCGATGGCTTGTACTTGGGATCGAACTTGCCGCCCTGCCGCAGAGTGGAGCACTTGTATATCTGCTTGTCCCGATCATAAATGGCCCCATCCATGGCCGTGCTAATGGGTATGACATCCGATTCGTTTTGCTGTTGCTGCTGCTGCTGGTGATGTTGCTGTTGCTGCTGGTGATGTTGCTGCTGCTGTTGCTGGTGTTGCTGCTGCATATGTGGCTGATGTTGCTGCGGTGACTTTAGCTGATGCAACTGCTGTTGCTGCTGCGAAGGCGGCGGTGGCTGCTGCTGCTGCTGCTGATGCAAACTGGGTGGATGCTGATGCGCCGGTATCTGCGGACCACCCTGGCTATTCTGGCGACGCATCGTGGCCAAATTGGATACATAGATGGAGCCCTGGCTGACGGCAACGAGCGGCTGGTAGATGGAGTGCGGATTCCCATTGGCCGCCGCCGCCGCCAGTTGTGGCGCCAAATGGGCCGGTATCTGCTGGTATATCTGGCTCTGTCCCGGCCCCAAATGATGCGGACCATGATGGGCGGCCGTCGTGTAGGTGCCATATTGCTGCTGCTGCTGCTGCGCCGCCTGCTGCTGCTGCTGATGGTAGATCGCGTGCTGATGCTGCACTGCAGCCGCAACGGCGGCGGCCGAATGCGAGTGCGGATGCTGGTGCGGATGGGGATGGGGATGCGGATGCTGGTGCGGATGATGGCAATAGATGGGCTGTGGTCCTCCCAATTGCTGTTGCTGCTGCTGCTGTTGCTGCTGTTGCTGCTGCTGCTGCTGCTGTTGTTGCTGCTGGGCGGCCTGCGTGGTCGGCGGCATATTGGCGGCGGCATTGGCTGCTGCTGCGACTGCTGCTGCTGCGGGGGGTGGCGACGGTTTTCAGTAAAAGTCATTCGCTTCCAATGTCTTGCATTGTTTGCTTAGGGTTGCATATTTACCATTATTGGGACCTACAAAAATGCACACACACAACACACAATTAGCAATTAGGCGCGGGTTGGACGAAGGATGTGGAGTTGGATGCGGATGCGGGGTGCAGGATGCAGGATGCAGGATGCAGAGTCGACGCAACGATGTGGTGTGGTTGGTTGGTTGGTTTATATGGCGGGCATTTCGCATGGAATGAGATTATATAGAAGAAACGTACATAATGAGAGCGAATTGAGCGGTTTTTGTTAGTTGGAAAATAGCTGAACCGGTTACGAATCGGTTGAGTATCGGTTATGCAGCGGTTAATTGATTTATTAAGCGTAATTAAACGATCAAGTAACTTTAAAAAATAACATTTCATAATATTACACTTTTAACCATTTTACAAGACTTTTGGTTGGCTTATTTAAACTTTTTACTGAACTTTTCTTGTAAATCCCTTTAAATTGCCAGCTCAATTTGGTCTCTGGATTTTATACACATATGGACACAAAGATTGATATAGATATGTAAACATACACTGGGCGAAAAAGCAACTCTAATTTATAGTTATTTTTAATTTTATAAATTAAATAAAAAATTTTTAAAAATTTTACTTTGGTACGAGTTCAAATCCACCCATTACCTTTCTTTATCATCAAATATGAAATATTTTACTTATGCATTAAGTGTAAAATGTAAAACCAATAAAATTCTTGAGTTTATAATAAGAAATTTGGAAATTCAAAAAAAAAAAAAAATGTTGGTACGAGTTCAAATCCACCCATTTCCTTTCTTTATCATCACATATGAAATATTTTACTTATCCATTACGAGTCAAATGTAAGACCAATAAAATTCTTCAGTTTATAATAAAAAATGTTTAAATTAATAAAAAAAATTTTTTTTGGGTGGACCAAAAAAGTTAAGATAGGTGGCTTTTTCGCTCAGTGCGCTCAGTCAGATAGAGAAGTGGGCGTGTGGGTGACGAGGAGTGGGCCCGGTGGTGACCCCGACTTACCGGTCATGTGGGTGGGGCTGTGGTTGTGCGACGGCAGCCGGCCCAGCGTGTGGGTGCCCATGGCGCGCATGTTCTGCTGGATGTGGGCGTGGGCCATCATCTCGTGCTGCTGCCGCTTGCTGGGATGCTGGAGCGTGTGGGAGCCGCTGATCACCGGCGGACTGAAGTGCCTGGAATATTGATGAGATATGGCGGATGGGGAGAGCAGAGAAAAGAACGGGACGAGAGAGAACAGAGAGAGAGAGAGTTCGAGAGAATGGAGGCGGGAATCGGAGGCGGGTGGACACGACGGGGTCACGATGGGGGGATCTCGTCTAGAACACATACCCATTATGATTTCGCGGCAGCGTCCGGGCGGCATTCATCATCTGCTGGTGATTCTGCGGTGCCGGATGCGAGATATACGACGGTTCATCCACCTGGGCGTAGTCATTGCGCTTCCTGATGTAGATCCACGTGTGCGAGTCCACCCAGACCATAATCGTCAGCAGAATGGCCGCAATGAAGCTGGCTATCAGCATGAGGACCAATCCCAGCAGTCCGCCCTCGCACAATCCCCGGGCGGCGGCCAGGAAATTGTGATGCACCGCCTTGCAGTCCACCAGTGCGGTCAGTTGGGTCAACAGCCGCTCGCTGCTATTCAGATCCGCATTCACGGCACCCAGCTTGGGTTGCAAACCCGACGATTTAAACAACACTAGGGATATCTTCATCACCGTGGCCATGGCACTGCGTGCATTGTTCAGCGAATTCTGCGATTCCCTCAGGCGCTGGGTAAACGGATTCGTGTGCCCCGGCTCGCATTGGGTGTAGTGCAGCAGGACATTGGTGGGCAGGTCACGCGGAGCCGTCGAGACGAGGAAGTCCGCCGGCGAGATGCACAGATCGCCGACGGCCACCGAGGACGAGAGATACAGGCCGGACATCAGCCACGAACCGGTGACGGCCAGCAGGCCGCAGACGCTGAACAGGATTAGGGCGCAGCGCGAGTGCCGGGCCACGCCCACCAGCAGGACGGCGCACAGGACGAGGAGCAGGGCCAAGGTGGCCACCGTGCCTGGCCAGCGGATCAGTTCCCATTGATCGCCGCGCTGAAAGGGGTTTATAAAATGGGTATCGTATTTAGAACTTAGGGTTTATAAATAGAGGGTTTAAGGTTATAAGTAGACATAAGATTTTAGGTGAAATCGTTTTTTTTTAAATATGATTTAAAGTCACATTTCATTGGTTAACATTTTTAAAGTTTTGTGGCTTTAAATTGTATTTAAAAAAATGATTTCATCGAAAATCCCATGTCTAGTTACAAGTCAGTGGTGGCCAACAGAAGTTACGTTTTTCTGCTTTACAGCGTACGTGTGCAGTGCAGCAGCGCAGCGGCAGAGAAACTGCCTATACCGCGGGCCACCACTGTTTTATTTATATAAAATATAATATATAAAATACCGTCAAAAAGTGCGTCATGGAGATGCCCATCAGGGGTCGTCGGATATCGCTGGCCGCATTCGTGGCTAGCGTAACATTTCCCTGGACAATATTGAGCGAAACGAAGAGCTTGGAGAGGGCCGTTTGATTCGAGACGGGCTGATCGAAGATATCCGCCAGCTCCACCAGCTGCGGTCGAATGCGATTCGTTAGCGTGTTCTCCAGGATGTGCGTCTGATTGCGTATGGTCGTGACCAGATTGTCCACCTTCCTGCCCGCCGTCAGCACCTCGAGCAGTCCGTTGTGCAGATCATCGTTGCCATATAGCCCGAGTCCGATGGCCGCACAGCACATGACCGTCACGATGGAGAGGGCCACCTTCAGGCTGGTGATCGAGTGGGCCGGGCGGGGCTTCCGGTCGCAGCAGCGGGTCATCAGATAGAAGAGCAGTCCCAGCAGCGAGACGATCAGCAGGGCGGCCGGAACGGAGCCCAAAATGCCCAGACTCTATAGGGAGAAAGGAGGTTATGATGTAAATATAAATATTAGATATTACACATAATACTTCTTATACTTTTATCATAATATATTAATACTTCATATGTCCTATAAGTAGTTTTTCCTTTTATAAACCAGTAAAGTAAATGGTAATAGTAATTTGATTTTGATAAATAAAATAAATTTAGGAATATTATAAAGATTACAATACCATTTTGTTCAAAGAAACCTGTATTAAGAAATCAGAACCTTGTTTTTTATAATATAAATACATATTATAAATAATATTAGTTGGGTTAAGGCTATACTAGATGCAGTAAAAAAATAATAATAATGATAATAATAGGTATAAATACCAGGGATCGCAAGTAAGAGTTACTTTTTTAAAAAAATTGACAAATAAGTTTTATTTTTCAATTTTTATTATAAAAGTTGACAAATAACTCTTATGCTTCAATTTTTATTATAAAAATCAACAAATAAGAGTTATTTGTCAAATTTTATAATAAAAATTGAAAATAAAGATTGAATTGATATAACTCTTGAACTGTACGGTACATTGGTTTAAAATTTATATATATATAATCTACGCTTTAATACCTTTCTGTTGATATGCCATATGTCCCCAAAATATTTTTTATAATAATAATATTTGTTACATCATAAAAAATATTTTGGGAACATATGGCATATCAACAGAAAGGTATTAAAGCGTAGATTATATATATTTAAATTGTAAACCAATGTACCCCACAGTTTAAGAGTTATTTCAATTCAATCTTTATTTTATTATAAAAGTTGACAAAATACTCTTATTTGTTGATTTTTATAATAAAAATTGAAGCTTAAGAGTTATTTGTCAACTTTTATAATAAAAATTGAAGCATAAGAGTTATTTGTCAACTTTTATAATAGAAATTGAAAAATAAAACTTATTTGTCAATTTTTTTAAAAAAGTAACTCTTACTTGCGATCCCTGATAAATACTATACATATTATATTTTGTAGTTTCATAGTATTGAAACGTTTTATTTTAATACTACTGAAGGAATTATTTCAATACTCATCTTAATAAGATAGGTATTTTGAAAACTCATTAGTTTATAATTTAGTTTCTATAATTATTTTGCTTTTTCGGTGTATAATATTCGACATATTTTGCTAGTCCTTGACTAAAGTTTACTCACCTCCAGGTAGATCTCATCGTTGGGCCGGAACGTGCTGTTGATCTTGTGGAACGTGATGTTGTAGTGGGGCAGGGCGTGGAGTAGCTTCGCTATCACCGGCACCTTGTACTGGTCCGTGAACTCGTGATAGTCGCCCATCCTGGCCTGCTGTCCAACGGCTTCTGCTTCAGCGGCTTCTACCCTTCTGTGCTCTGTGTTCCTGCTCCTGCTCCTGCTCCTGCTCTTCCTGTCCTTTGTGGCTCCTGGCGGTTTTCCTTTCACTCGTCACTGCTGCGTTTTCCTGCTACGTGCTCACGGGCCTGAGTTTCCTAACCTCTTGACACCGAATCCAAATTGCCGTGCACTGGAGAAAGGATAAGGAAAGCGTGAGGGAGGGCAGGATATTAAGTAACCAGAAGTGTACGTTTCTTAATTAATTTATGTGTTCCTAAGCACCGAAAGCTTGTTTGTTGTTTAGAATTACAAGGGTTTGTTCACTATCTTAAAGACGCAGCGATTGAAAACAATCAATTCTATAATCCAAAGTGCTCTTTAAAAAGATTTCACTTGTAGGAGATAAGGGTTTGACCCTTATATTTCACTTGTAAGAGATAAGGGTATGACCCTTATAAGCTAGGCTCTCAGCAGCAGATTATAATTTTAACCCAAGTAATGTAAATGCCTAAGAACCATATGTGGGTAATTTTCATTGAAAAATATATTGATATTTTTAATACAAATTTAGAAGGACCAAAACATTTTGACTACCTCTAAAAATGTGGGTGTCCCAGAATTTCGAGATTGTGGGCGTGGCAAATTGCTGTAATAAACATCATAATAATCTTTATATTTTTATAGCTTTAATGATACTCAATACATCGAAGAAGACGATTCTAGAATACTTTATTAGATGGAAAACACTTTCTTCGACTTGTTAGATATTTTTCAATGATTATCAAAAAATATGTTTCTAAAACAGTTTATATGTTGAGCGATTTCTTAATGTTTTCTAACTGATTTCATGGACTGTCAAGTAAGTTTATGTATTTTTCCAATATAGACGTTAAAAAATCATATATTTTCTTTATAATTTAAATATTACACACAAAATACGTTCCGGGTTTTTATTGCAAAATGGAATGCCATGAAGTGCAATTACGTTTTCCACCCTTGAATTCATTGACTACGCGTGATAATTTATAGACTCGACTCCTTAAAATATGCAAAATGAAACACTTCTTTTTCAGCTTCTTCTTCTTCTTCCTGCCCTATAGGGATCTGCGATAGCGATTTTAACCCCACTTTTTTGGCATACTCGAAATAACGGCTCCTGCATGTACACATACATACATACATACACATACATATGTGGGCGTGCATGCGTGGGCATGGCCTTAATTGCTCAATAAGTAGGTTGCCCCCACACTTGCGGGCACTTTTTAATTAAAAAACAAGCTACTGCGATTGGGATTTCCGGTTGATGCATTTGCAATTGCAATTTTCGGTTAAATGGTTTAATGACGCGAACGCGGGTGTATTTTTTAATTCCTTCCTTTTTTTACATGGGATTTCGATTGAGGACGAACGATGATGCCCAGCGCAATAGCAATTTTGTTCACTTGTCTTCCTCTTCCTGGTTCATTTTGTCCAGTGCAACAACAACAAGACGGCGAAGAGGGCGAAGAGGCGAAGAGTGCGCGAGTAACGGTAACGCGGCTGCGCGTGCGTTTGTATATCTATTGATTAAAAGTTCGCTCTGCTCTGCTTCCTCTTCCTTATCCTTATTCCTTTTGGCAGTTCTCTCGTAATTGCTGCGCCCACTTTCCGCTGCCCCGCCCCCTTTCCCTTCCATTCCTCCTTCCGTCTCCCCCACCCACCCACACACGCACACCAGCGAACTGCAAAATGCGTTTGCTACGCAACGACAAATGCAACAATAACACACACACACACGCACTTGATAACGGTATAAATTAAATTCGCCAACTATTTGGCATTTCAATTCGTGACGAACGAACTGCAAATAAAAACACTCCCTTTTTTCGGGGGTACACAATTTTCCACAACAAACAAAGCCCTGACGAAGTCACTCGGCTAAAATTCGAAATTATTACTTTTTGCTGCACTTTTCCTCTTTTCAGTTGCCAGACTCTCGGTCTTTTCGCCTTGATTCGATCAATTTGTTTGTTTAAAAATGCAATCAGGTTCGTAATGTTCGAATAAGTGGGTAGATTTGATTTTTTGTTTTTGCAATTTCGGAGAAAAGGCAACACAACACACGAGCGAGGACCTTCACATTCCGAAGACTGGGCAAAGTATGAAAATTTCGTGTCGTTCAATTTGGTCACACCCTCTGAATTAAGCTGTTTTTTTTTCGCAGGACGAAAAGGACCCTCCGAAAAACCGAACCCCACCAGTGTGACCGAGTTGGTGATTTAAAATGCACTAATAAAGACGGCGGCACTGCAATATTTGTATTACTTTAAGTAATAAGTGTTTTTTTTTATATTTTAGTTACTATTTAATCAAGAAAAAATTAATTCCAGTTTTATTTAACAAACTTACTTACTTGTATTCTTCTTCGATATTTTAGGTGAAACAATGAGACTTTTCACAAGTAACGACTAAAGAATTAAAAACTTTTGAATTTTCAGTTAATTTTTTTAAAATGGCAAAAGTAGTAGCCACAAAAGGTCACACAGATTTACACCCTAATTTGAACAGTAATGGCTAGGTGGTTAGCAGCCATGCAAAACTAGCATTTGAAAAGACAAATCCCATGTTGACAACAAAAAAGAGCCAGCCTTCTATAAATATTATTATTTATATATGATCAGATCCACAAAAAGTGAACTTTTAGTAACAATTACAGCAATTACAATTACAACTAGACCTATCGACAGCGACGCGAGTGTGCCTTCTCCGATTTCCAACACTGCACTTGGCCTAGGGTGACCAGTCCGCCGCAGTGCATACAAGCCAGCGACCAGCAGTCGAGCCGTTTGCATGGCCGAGCGGCGGACGGTCACCTGGCTGCTCTTCCTCTTGCTCGTTAGTGCAAAAAAAAACAAAATAAAGAAGAAGAAACGGAAAACAGGGCCAGCAGCTTGAGCCCAAAATATATAACAAATATAACATTTTATGTGGTCAAAATGAGCGTGCTGCCGTTCGTGCGCGGTGTGGACTTTACGAAAAATGATTTCAGCGTGAGTACAATAGTTTTTTCATGTGATAGGGGAGCGGGGGAGGGGCAAAGGGGAGGGGAGGTTCTAAAAAAAAAAAAAAAAAAGAAACAGGTCACCGAAAAACCTGAAGCATTAGTCATAATTAATCCCGATATACGCTTGCAGGCAACATTCCCCAGCTCCATGCGGCAGATGTCGCGGGTGCAGTGGCTCACACTGGATCGCACGCAGCTGGCGGAGATTCCCGAGGAGCTGGGCCACCTGCAGAAGCTGGAGCACCTGTCGCTGAACCACAATCGCCTGGAGAAGATCTTCGGCGAGCTGACGGAGCTGGCGTGCCTGCGTTCCCTGGATTTGCGGCACAATCAGCTGCGTAACAGCGGCATTCCGCCGGAACTCTTTCACCTGGAGGAGCTGACCACGCTGGATTTGTCGCACAACAAGCTGAAGGAGGTTCCCGAGGGCCTCGAGCGGGCCAAGAATCTTATAGTTCTCAATCTGAGTAATAATCAAATCGAGACCATACCCACGCCGCTGTTCATCCATCTGACGGATCTGCTCTTCCTCGACCTCTCGCACAATCGCCTGGAGACGCTGCCGCCGCAGACGCGCCGCCTGATCAACCTGAAGACCCTGGATCTATCGCACAATCCGCTGGAGCTCTTCCAGCTGCGCCAGCTGCCCTCGCTGCAGAGTCTCGAGTGCCTGAAGATGAGCGGCACGCAGCGCACCCTGCTCAATTTCCCCACCAGCCTGGATAGCTTGGCCAATCTGGTGGAACTCGATTTGTCGCACAATTCCCTGCCCAAGCTGCCCGACTGCGTGTACAATGTGGTGACGCTGGTGCGTTTGAACCTAAGCGACAACGAGCTGGGCGAACTGAGCGCCGGCGTGGAGCTGTGGCAGCGCCTCGAGTCGCTGAATGTGTCGCGCAATCAACTGGTCGCCCTGCCCGCCGCCCTCTGCAAGCTGCCCAAGCTGCGCCGGCTGCTGGTGAACGACAACAGGCTGAATTTCGAGGGCATACCCTCGGGCATTGGCAAGCTGGGCGCTCTGGAGGTCTTCTCGGCGGCCAACAATCTGCTCGAGATGGTGCCCGAGGGCCTCTGCCGCTGCGGAGCGCTGAAACAGCTCAACCTGAGCTGCAATCGGCTGATAACCCTGCCCGATGCCATTCACCTGCTCGAGGGTCTCGATCAACTGGATTTGCGCAACAATCCGGAGCTGGTGATGCCACCGAAGCCAAGCGAAGCCAGCAAGGCGACCAGTCTGGAGTTCTACAACATAGATTTTAGTTTGCAAACGCAGCTACGCTTGGCCGGCGCCGCTGTGCCGCCCTCCATGCCTGCGACGGCCACGCCCAAGGATTCGACGGCCAGGAAGATTCGGCTGAGGCGCGGTCCGCGCAGCGAGGGCGATCAGGATGCGGCCAAGGTGCTCAAGGGCATGAAGGATGTGGCCAAGGACAAGGATAACGAGCTGCTACTCGAAGATGGGAAGCCCGAATCCCTGAAGCCAAAGCGCTGGGACGAGTCGCTGGAGAAGCCGCAACTGGACTACTCCAAGTTCTTCGAGAAGGAGGATGGCCAGCTGCCCGGTTTGACCATCTGGGAGATCGAGAACTTCCTGCCCAACAAAATCGAGGAGGTGGTGCATGGTAAATTCTACGAGGGCGACTGCTACATTGTCCTCAAAACGAAGTTCGATGATTTGGGCCTGCTGGATTGGGAGATCTACTTTTGGATTGGCAACGAGGCGACGCTGGACAAGCGTGCCTGTGCCGCCATTCATGCCGTGAATCTGCGGAACTTTCTGGGCGCCCGGTGTCGCACGGTTCGCGAGGAGCAGGGCGACGAGTCCGAGGAGTTTCTGTCGCTCTTCGAAACGGAGGTCATCTACATCGAGGGCGGACGCACGGCCACCGGTTTCTATACCATCGAGGAGATGATACATATCACCCGGCTGTATTTGGTGCACGCCTACGGCGCCACCATACATCTGGAGCCCGTGGCTCCCGTCGCAGACTCCCTGGATCCCCGGCACGCCTTTGTCCTCGATCTGGGCACGCACATTTACATTTGGCTGGGCGAGCGATCGAAGAATACGCTGAACTCGAAGGCACGCCTGATGGCGGAGAAGATCAGCAAGACGGAGCGCAAGAACAAGTGCGAAATTCAGCTGGAGCGGCAGGGCGAGGAGAGTGCCGAGTTCTGGCTGGGATTGGAGATGTCGCCGGAGGAGTTAGCCGTTAGGGAGCCGCCCAAGGAGCACGTTCCCGAGGACTATCAGCCGGTGCAGCCGCGCCTCTACCAGGTGCAGCTGGGCATGGGCTATCTGGAGCTGCCGCAGGTGGAGCTGCCGCAGCAGAAGCTCTGCCACACGCTGCTCAACAGCAAGCATGTCTACATACTCGACTGCTACACCGATCTGTTCGTTTGGTTTGGCAAGAAGTCGACGCGCCTGGTGCGAGCGGCGGCCGTTAAGCTGAGCCGGGAGCTCTTCAACATGATGGATCGACCGGATTATGCGCTCGTGATGCGCGTGCCCGAGGGCAATGAGATGCAGATCTTCCGCACCAAGTTCGCCGGCTGGGACGAGGTGATGGCCGTCGATTTTACGCGCACAGCCAAGTCGGTGGCCAAGACGGGTGCAAATCTGACGCAGTGGGCGCGACAGCAGGAGACGCGAACGGATCTGGCGGCCCTTTTCATGCCCCGGCAGTCGGCAATGCCGCTGGCCGAGGCCGAGCAGCTGGAGGAGGAGTGGAACTACGATCTGGAGATGATGGAGGCCTTTGTGCTGGAGAACAAGAAGTTTGTCCGCCTGCCCGAGGAGGAGCTGGGTCGCTTCTACACTGGGGAATGCTATGTCTTCCTCTGTCGCTACTGCATACCCATCGAGGAGCCCGAAAATGTCGCAGAAGATGGTGCTAATCCCGCGGATGAGAGTAAATCATCGGCAGCCAGCGGCAACAATCAGCCAGAGGATGAGATCCAGTGCGTTGTCTACTTCTGGCAGGGACGCAATGCCGGCAACATGGGTTGGCTGACGTTCACCTTTACGCTGCAGAAGAAATTCAAGGCCATGTTCGGCGAGGAACTGGAGGTGGTGCGCATCTTCCAGCAGCAGGAGAACCTCAAGTTCATGTCGCACTTCAAGCGCAAGTTCATCATTCACACCGGCAAGCGGAAGGACAAGGCGCTGACCGCGAAGGGCAAGGCGCCCGTCGAGTTCTTCCACCTGCGTTCGAACGGCGGTGCGCTCACCACGCGCCTCATACAAATCAATCCGGATGCAGTGCATCTCAATTCGGCCTTCTGGTGAGTAATGGCCAACGCCTTCTTGTCTTATCACTGTTTATAGCTGGAATTCCATTGATAAAGTTTATATGTGCTTTATATATTTTATTTTCTACTTCAGCTATATACTCCATGTGCCATTTGAAACGGAGGACGAATCGCAGTCGGGGATTGTGTATGTGTGGATTGGCAGCAAGTCCTGCAACGAGGAGGCCAAGCTGGTCCAGGACATCGCCGAGCAGATGTTCAACTCGCCCTGGGTGAGCCTGCAGGTAGGTTGTTTATTTATTTATATTGTCTAACTAAATTAGTGTTTAAACAAAGCTTATTAGTTAGAAGTTAAAGAAAGAAATATGTTAAAAACTGAAGAATTCGCGGTTTTATTTAGTTTATTTTTCACTCAATAATTATGTTTATATTATATTGTTTAAACCAAGCAAGTTACTTAGAAGTTAAAGATAGGGCTTTATTTATAAATATTTTTTTTATAATGAAATATATTCAAAACTTAAGAATTCGCGGTTTTATTTATTATATTTTTCACTAAATCAATTATGTTCACTTTAACCAAGCCTGAAAATATGAAATAACAAAGTTGTTAAAATGAAGAATTCGCGGTATTACATTTTTATTTTTAAGACAATAATTGGGTTTAGTTAAATAAATCATATAAATATTGTAATAATCAATTACAAGCTAAAGAAAATATAATTAATTGAGGTAAAATTTTAAAAATGTATCTGAACTGAAGAATTCGCGTTTTGAATTCTTATATTTTTCATCCAAAAATTAGTTTCTTCAATAAAAAATATAAAATTAATTTAAATAAATATAAAAATAATTGAATATTTAAATAAATATTTTAATCACTTACCAAACCTTTTTTTCCACAGATTCTCAACGAGGGCGACGAGCCGGAGAACTTCTTCTGGGTGGCTTTGGGAGGTCGCAAGCCCTACGACACGGACGCCGAGTACATGGACTACACGCGGCTGTTCCGGTGCTCCAACGAGCGCGGCTACTACACGGTGGCCGAGAAGTGCGCCGACTTTTGCCAGGACGATCTGGCCGACGACGACATAATGATCCTGGACAACGGCGAGCACGTCTTCCTCTGGATGGGGCCGCGCTGCAGCGAGGTGGAGGTGAAGCTGGCCTACAAGTCCGCCCAGGTGTACATCCAGCACATGCGGATCAAGCAGCCGGAGAGGCCGAGGAAGCTCTTCCTCACGATGAAGAACAAGGAGTCGCGCCGGTTTACCAAGTGCTTCCACGGCTGGAGCGCCTTCAAGGTGTATTTATAATTTTAGGCAACTAAAAGGGGGCATTGTCGAGGGCTTCGGTTCTTTAATATGTTAAATTAATTTATGCACAGCCCCAAAGGTGTACGTTTAACTTTTACATATTTCAAGAGATCGCCTTTAAGGCGGTCATTCGTTTGTATCATTTAAATGGGCCTCCTGAATTTTACAGGATCCACAGAAACGCCCCAGCCGGTTGTGCATTTATTTGTTGAGCATTTAAAGAAGCGCCTTTTAGATGCTATTTTAGTTTTATAAAATCGATAAAGGCACCTTAGAGGTGTTAACTTAATTTTAACAAGTTAGAGGAGCCCCTTGCAGGTGTAAAATCGGGGAAAGGGGGTTGGGCAGCTGCCGTGACAGAGCAGCTGCCCCACAGACGCATGACAAAAAAAAAAGGAAAAAAACCCTATCGAAAAAAAGAAACAAAAACGAACAGAAAAAGAAACAAAAAACAAACCCATCAGATCGCAAGAAGAACATGTTTGTACTTTTATAAAATGTATTTAATTGTTTTGTATAATTAATTTAAATTTTTTTTATTAGCTCACTTGCTCCCGCCCTTAACTAATTAGCTAACAACTCCAACAACGCCAAGTATTCGCCCACTCTTTACGAGAAAACCTTATAAAATATATATAATTTAAATATATATATATCTATATATATGCCTAAAAATACGCAATATTTATATACATATGCTGAGCTGAGAGGATTGCTATTACTCCTTGCGCTAGTCCTTTTAAAATGTTAACCTACTTAAAGCTAGCCTGTAATAAAATCGAAAGAAAGAAAACACTAAAACTAATTGTACAAATGCCACGTATTTATTTTATTTTTATTAATCCCCCTGAATAAACATTTAGAAAAATTGCAATTCGCATGTTTTTTTCAGGTTGGAGGATATATTAAGTAAATTGGGTTTAAAAGAAAATTAAAATAGTTATATAATTGAATTAAGATATCCGACTATAAATGTTTGAATATCATAAACTGAAACAATTTCTAAACTTTTCAGTTTTTATTCTAAATTTTGTACACAATATTTTTACTAGTGTATTCCCTTACTTAGCCAGTGCGCGCACCGGAAATAGCAAATACACCCTCCCGCTGAAAAAACTGTTATTTTAAGGTGAAAAATATGAATTCGAATTTTTGACAAAAATGGTAATTTTTTTATGGTTTTTTAGTCGTAGCTGGGACAATTTAAGGCCTACAGCGAAAAGACCGACTGTTTTGAACAGCTAACGACCTATACTAACGAATCCCATCACTTTCTGATAAATTTTTTTTTTGATCAATTTTCGCATTTTTTAATAAGGGGTTGCATCACAATTTTTTGGAAAAAGTTACAAAATTTAAAAATTTCTAGGTTTGAATGCCAATCAATTGGTAATTGCATTACGAGCTCATCGAAGTACGACACTCCATATTTGGATCATTATTTCCATTGTTACGACCAAAAAACGGTTATTTTAGGGTGAAAAATATGTTCATTTTCACTTTGATGTTTTATCCGTAGTTAGCGAGTACACCAACCCGACACAGGCGATAATTAGCATGTTATCGCTTTTGTGTTATCGACCCATCGCTAGTGGTTTATTGCCGGAGTGAAATAAATTAAATATTGCAAATTATATTATAAAACAGAGCCAGATCCAGCATGCCAGACGCCGAACAACTGCCCGAGGGCTGGGAGAAGCGCACCAGCCGCTCCACAGGTGGGAATCGCTCACTTATGTGTTATGATGGAGAATTCCGAGAAATTCGCAACCGGCACACGCTAAAATTGATGGCATTTTATTTGAATTGATTTTTTTTAGGACTGAGCTACTACCTCAATGTGCACACCAAGGAGTCGCAGTGGGATCAGCCCACGGAGCCGGCCAAGAAGACCGGCGGCGGAGGTGGATCCAATGCCTCGGCCGCCGCTGGCGGAGATGCCGCCGACGAGGTGCAGTGCCTCCATCTGCTGGTGAAGCACAAGGGCAGCCGGCGGCCCAGCTCGTGGCGCGAGGCGAACATCACCCGCACCAAGGAGGAGGCCCAGCTGCTCCTCGAGGTCTATCGCAACAAGATCGTCAACCAGGAGGCCACCTTCGATGAGCTGGCCCGCTCCTATTCCGACTGCAGTTCCGCCAAGAGGGGCGGCGACCTCGGAAAGTTCGGCAGAGGTATGATATGGGGCTTAAATAGACGGGGATTCCACATCTAATAGCTCCTATCAGTCTGAAAAATCTGTGAAACATTAAGATCTAGGGATTTTTTAAGGTTTCTCTTCACACTCGGTTCTAAAACTTGTTTTTATTAACCTATCAGAAGACATCCTTTGTTAAGTTACACATTTTTCTAGATATTTGGGTTTTTTCCCTAGTTTATAAACTATATACTATAAAAACAATATACTATACTATAAAAACTATATCAAAATATCTTTGGTAAAATTACGAATTTATCAAGATATTTTAATTATATTTGTATAGTTTATAATTGTTTTTCTAGTAAACCTTAATTTTAGCAAGGTTTCTTTTCACTCCTAGTTTCAAAACTAATTTTATTAACTGATCTCAAAATATCTTTGGTAAAATTATACATTTTTCTAGATATTTCGTTTTTTTCCTAGTTTATAGAGGTGTTTCTTGTAAGCCTTAATTTTATCCAGGTTTATTTTCACTCCTAGTTTAAAAACTATATTTTATTAACAGATCTGAAAATATCCTTGGTAAAATTACGAATTTATCAAGATATTTTAATTATATTTGTATAGTTTATAATTGTCTTTCTTGTAAGTCTAAATTCTATCTAGATTTCTTTTTAAAAACTATATTTTATTAACTGATATGAAAATATCTTTGGTAAAAAAACGAATCTTACGAAGATTTTTTGATTGTATATCCCTAGTTTAAATATTTTAAAATATTTTCTGCAAGCAAATGGAACTTGTACACATTTTTTATTTGAATTTCAAGACTTTTATTAAGTGATCCAAATAATTAAATCATTATAAAAAGGTACCCTTCCTTAAAGCTAGAAAACTAAATTGCAAAGTTGTGTACTTCTTTATAGAAGGTTAATTTAATCAACTTTTCTCCACCACAGGTCAAATGCAGGCATCGTTCGAGGAGGCCGCCTTCAAACTGAACGTCGGCCAGCTGTCGGGCATCGTCGACAGCGATTCCGGCCTGCACATCATACTCCGCAAATCCTAGAAAAATCCTCGACTCCTCCGCCACGCAGCTCACGTCACTTCACATGAATAAAACGGAATTTACAGCCATTTCAATATAGAATTATGTATTTTAAAATGTTAGGTTTTTTTTCGTCTAAGCTAAAAGAGAAAACGGGGTGTTTGCGTTTTCGTTTTCGTTTTCATTTTCATTTGCCAATGTTCAGTTTGGCCGCCAGCAGCTTGGCGCCGAGCGTCTTCTGGTTGGCCAGCGTCTGGCCGAGGCTCTTCTCCGCCGCGATGGCCTTCTTGCAGTCGCCGAGCAGCGCGGGACTCTCCTCCACCAGCTTCAGCAGGACGAAACAGGAGCGGTTGACGCCCAGCCAGACTTTGAGCTGCAAAAATGATGGGGAAACGGAAATGGTAGTGAAAATTAGGACTCTTATTTATAAACAACTATACATTATTAATGACAAATTTTTAAATAAATAAATACTTCGATTATATATATGAGAACCTACCACATCGGCGGACAAGCTTTGCAGGAGCTGTTGGCTGAAGGGATGGCCCTCGCGTTTGCCATCGTTCTTGAGGATCTTCTTCAGCACAATGTGCATGCCGGCCTCCTCGATGCCGGTGACCAGCGGAGCCGCCGGCTCAGTGGGCTCCTCCTTCTTAGCCTTTGATTTCTTGGCCTCCTTTTTGGTTTTCTTCACCTGCGGTTCGCCCTTCTCGCCCTCTTCCTCCTCTGCATCTTCTGCCGCCTCATCTTCATCCTCTTCACCCTCGCTGCTGCTGCTGCTGTCGGCATTTAGCAATTTCCTGCGCTGTTTGGTGGCCTCGGCTATGATGGCCTCCACATCATTGTGCGGCTTCTTCTTGTCCTGCGGCACTGGGCCAGCGGCATCGGCTGAAATGCGCCAATCCGGCTGGGCGATCACCTGGGCGAGTGCCTTGGCCGCCTGCTCATACGATTCGCCCTGAACTGGAGACACAGAGAGGTAAGATTTATGAAACAACAGCATTAAGCAGGGTTCGGAAATTGACACACATGTTAAAAACATGAAAAATTTTATTTTACAGTGTGAGCAGAATTTTTGACATGTGTGTCAAATACAAAAGTGTTAAAATGTGAAAAATAATTGTTAACACACACAGCTCACTTGTGTTTTTTACACACTGTGTTTTTTAACACAAATGAAAATTACATTTTACTGACATTACGAGTCGAAGGGAAAATGAAAAAGACATTTAATGTCAAAAACTCATTGTGTTAAAAACACGCGGCGTAAAAAACACGTCGTGTTAATAACACATCGTGTAAATAACACAAATGACATGTGTGTGTTATTTATGTTTCTAACATATGTGGGACACAATTTTTTACACACAAGTTAATAATTTTTTTGACCTTTGACATTTAACATGTTAATAAGAAAAGTTAATTACAAAAGCATTAAGTAAAGGCCCTGCACTCACTGTGATTTAGAATGTCGGCGGTGACCAGGCCAATGTGGCTATTGGAGAGCCAGAAGGCGGCCTCCTCGGCGATGGTCTGTGCAATGGGCGCCTCGATCTGCTCGAAGATCTCCTTGCGGCGCAGCTCCTTCTCCTTTTTGCCGAACGCCAGGCCCTCGTCGACGACGCGAATAAACTCCGGATGGAAGCAGGTGGTATCCCCGGGAGCCACGAGCCATTGTACCACTCGGCGGCCGTACTGATTGCCCACCAGCGTCTTCAGATCGCCGTGCAGATGGTCGTAGATGGCCTTCTTGGTGGCCTTTGTGTCGTCCAAGGCGTTCAGCAGCGAGATGAGGAAGACGTGGCCGTGCTCGTGGGTGGCGATCTTGAGCAGATGCTCCTTGATGTTCTTAATAATGGCCTGTAGATATGAAATATATATATTAGATTTTTCCCATTTTATTTGGCTTAATTAGTATATTTACTCTGCGATTCTTGGGCGTGGACTTGTAGAAGCATATGACGCCCGCCTCGCTGCCCTCCTTGGTGGACAGCATGTGGGGCACCAGGGCCGCAAAGGCCGTGACCGTCTCCTCCAGCTTCTCCTCGTCCTCGTCGCAGGCGCGCAGGTATTCCAGCATGACGGCGTGCACTAGCGAACTGTCCACCAGCTGCTTGTTGGCCACATGATCCAGATTGGCCTTCACGGAGCCCAAAATGGAGGCCTTCATGTTGGCGGCCTCCTTGTAGGTGTCGCTCAGCGTCCTGACATTCGCATCCTTGGCCTTGCGATACAGATCGCCGTAGAACTCCTGGCGCATGTGGATGCGCTGCTGGGCGCTCGCACCCTGGTACATCGTGTCCAGCAGCCCGCTGGCAATGCTGTGTCCGGCCAAACGGACAATGTTCCCGTACAGGCTGTCCACCAGCTTGGATTTGGTGGCCGGCGAACCGTATTTGAGCATCCGCTGGACGCAGAACTGGGCGTACTTCGACTGGCACATGACCACGGTGAAGGGCAGCAGCTGCTCGGAGATCTCCGCCCGCAGCGCCGGCGAGGCGTACTTCAGCATGCACTGGAGCACGCGGGCCGTGTCGTGGGCCTTCACCACCTTCGAGATGGTGTCGCCCACGTTGAGCACCTTGTATATCTGCTCCACCAGCTTGTCCTTGTTCTCCGTCCGGCGGCTGCAGGACGATTAGAATTTTAATAAAATATTTAACAAAATAATTAATAAAGAAAATATATTATAATCCTATTAGTTCTTAATTATCAGGCGAATAGAGGGCATTTCTATTAAAAATGTATCCTAAAAACAAATAAATATATAGATTTTAATGGTATTCTATAAGAAATAAACCTCTTGAGACTATCTAAATTAGATTGAAATCATAGTAATACATTATAAGTTTGTAGGAAGATGGTAAGTTGTTTATGACATCATATATATCTTCTGTTCTTATAAAAAATTTACATATACCCTAAAACCAAATAAATAAATGGCTCAAATTCAATATTTCTGAATAAAATATATACATAAATAAAATATTTAATACAGATAATGGTATTCTATAAGAAATCATCCTCTTGAGACTATCTAAATTTGATTGTATATAATATATATAATATAGTACTATGATCTGAATTATAATTCTGGCAGGAATATAGTAAGTTGTTTATAATATTATATTCTTATAAGAAATTTAAAAATACCCTAAAATATTTCTGAATAAAATAAAATATTTAATACAGATAATAGTATTCTTTAAGAAATACTCCTCTTGAGACTTTAGAATTAGTAAGTACTATAAGAATAGATATGATAGATCATAGGATCACAGGTTGAGACTTTATAAATTTGATGAAAATCCTAAGACTAAATCATTAAGTTGCTATAGGAAAATGGTAATAGATTTTTTAACTGCCCCTCGTGTCTTTTAATAAGGGATCCATTCTCACCATCGCAGCTTCTCGTAGATCTGCTTGGCCTCCTTGGTGATCTCGTAGGTGTCCTTGGAGCTCTTGCGCTTCAGCTTGAGGTCCTTCTTCTCCTGCTTGAACTTGTTCCAGTCCTGTTTCTCGCCCTCCGCCGGCGCCTGTGGCTGTGCCTGCTTCACTGGCTTTCCCCGGAACTTGTTGTTGCTGTTGCCGCCGCCGCCGCCGAACTTCCTGCCACCATCTGCTCCCGGTTTGTCGAACTTTTTGCCCGGTCCTCCGCCGGATTTGTCGAATTTCCTGGCGCCGCCAGCTCCGCCGGGCTTGAATTTCTGTCCCTGGGCGGCGGGCTTGCTCGGCGATCTGTTGCCCTTTGGGGCAGGTCTTTTCGGCTCCGAACTGACCATGTTTTCTGCGTTTAAACTAGCTATTGGCAAATGTTGTTAAAAAAAAAACAAATTACCAAAAACTACACGTGCAGTTGATATCGTTATCGATAGTGTGAACGCACCTACGGTCGATTCGATAGTTTAATTTTCGCTGGGATTTTCCGGTATTTATATACCAACAAAAAATACCACAGCCAATTTTAGGACCTTTTGCCCAAGGGTTTTCTCAGGGATTTTCCGGTATTTCATCTCCCTATCGAGATATCACCAAAAGCCAAAGAATTAAAGAAAGCCGATTAAAAAGGAGCCCGGCGTTTCCGCGGCGTGCAACTGTTTTTGGTCCTCGTTTTGGTCCCGGGTTCTGGTCCTCCAAATCGATCTCCATCTCCGCCCGGTCGCCACAACAACGCACCATTCAGTACCACTTCCAGTTGCACATTCTCAGCCGCAACCACAATCACAGCCCACATCCCACCCCCCGCCCCCCATTCACTCCCCCGCCAGCCAACAACAACAACAACAACAGTAGCGATTCCAGCGATTCCCCCGCGAAATGGGCACCATCTCATCCGTGCTGCAGTGGTCGTGCACCAAGTGCAACACGATCAATCCGACGGAGTCGTTAAAGTGCTTCAATTGCGGCACCGTTCGCAAGGTGTTCCCCCAACAGCAACAACAACAACAGCGAAGGGTCACCGCCTCCTGGACAGCTGATGATGCACTGGAGCAGGAGCAGGCGGAGAGGGAGAAGGAGAAGGAGCAGGCAGAGAGGGACAGGGAGAAGGATAAGGACAAGGAGAAGGGCAGGGCGGCGGTTGCCAGGTAAGCGGAGCAGCGGTCGCCACAAAAACAAACAGCCTGTGACTCTGTGTGTGCGTGTGTGTGGGTGTCCCCCCCCGTGTCCGTGTGAGCGCCAGTGCTGGCAGCCAATTGGAGGATAACAAAAAATAGCTAGATGTATGTCAGCCTACAGAAATTAGCTATTTAATAGGTTGGCTTTAAAAAGTTTTCAGGAGAGTTAAACTCATCAAAATCGCCAGATTTGTAAAGGAGATTTAGTTTTACAAGGACTTGGTTGTTAGCCTTTATATTTTTTTAAGCTAGATTTATGTCAACCTATAGAAATAGGTCGGTCTTAAAAAGCTTTCAGGAGAGTTCAACTCATGAGAAATTACTATAGAATACTTTTAAAATAGCCAGACTTGTAAAAGAGATTTAGTTTTACAAGGACTTGGTTGTTAGCCTTTATATTTTTGCAGATCTAAGAAATGATTTTCGATTTGTTAAACTTCCGTATAATTCTTAAATTGATTATGTATATATTTCAATATAAATTGTACACTATACAATGTTCAAGTACACAGTATACAGTAATCAACAATTGGCTGGCTTATAATTTGTGTTCTAATTGGATTCTAATTGAGCACAATGAAAACTATTTCTATTTTTCGGTTTTATGAAAGGCTAAAAGAAAGTTTTTTTAAAGAAGATTTGCTGAACTTCCGTATAATTTTTTACTTGATTAAGTTTGATTTGTAAATATTTTTGAAAAATATAATATATTTCAATATAAATTTTAGATTATACAATGTTCAAGTTGACTGACACTTTTTTTAGCCGTGTAGTACACAGTAATCAACATTTGGATAGCTTATAAATTGTATTTTTCGGTTTGATGAAAGGCTAAAAGAAAGTTTTTTTTGCCAAGTTAGAAGCTAGCTTTTAAAGCTATGCCGTCGGCACTGGCGACTCTCCGTGAGCGTGTGTGTGTGAGAGCATGTATACACAGCAGCGGCAGCGGCAGAAGCAACAACAAAAACAGCCGAGCAGCGAGAATTGGGGAAAATCGATTTGGATAAAGAGGCATTGTTTACAAGTTTATCGATTCGCGAACGCGAACTCGAACTCGCTGGCCGAACTCCAAATCCCGAGTGGCGAGCTGGAAAATGGCCAGTCATTGAGATAACCTTTGCGGTCAGAAGAGCAGAACAGAACAGAACAGAACAGTTGGTGAAAAGCCCAGTTAAAGACTATAATCGAAACCAAAAACCCATCCAATCCTAACCCAAAGAATCCTATGTAATCCTGTATTTTGCAGGAGCGAGTACAAGCATGTGTACAAGTCGCTGCTGCGCGGATGCCTGAAGAGACCGCAGCGGAACAGCCAGAACCTGCCCGCCAATTGCGTCGACTGCGAGGATACGCGCAAGTACATCAAGAGCTCCATCGAGCTCTACCGCCACTTCTCGAATCCCGCCCTCAATCGGCGGTGGGTGTGCCACGCCTGCGGCACCGACAACAGCTCGGTCACCTGGCACTGCCTCATCTGCGACACGGTCAGCTATCTGGCGCCCATCTACAAGGACGCCATTGCAGCCGATCGCGATTGCGGCCAGGAGCTGGCCGGCAGTCTGGGCAATCGCGGCGAGCTGCTGGCAGCGGATCCCCATCCGCATCCCCATCCGCATCCACATCATCATCATCACTACCAACTGCAACAGGAGCTGGAGGAGCAGCACCATCATCAGTTACATTCCCAGCAGCACTCGCACAAGAGGCACCTTAAAGGTAGATCTGGCTCGGGATCGGGAGCGGGATCGGGTCAGGGATCGGGTCAGGGATCGGGTGCAGGTTCGAGTGCAGGATCTGGACTGCGGCGCACCCAGAGCCTGAGCACCGCCATCGACAAGAGCGCCTCGGGGCGCAGCTGCCACATCTGCTATGCGAACAACCAGAGCAAGGACATCTTCAATCTGCCGCAGGTCAAGCCGGCGCCCCAGCTGACAGGTGGGTTAAGATGCAGACTCCAGAGATCGGGAATTACTAGTACTTACGTAGATGGTGCTTAGGAAATTACAGTTTAAAGACTAAGGTTAGATGGCTTATATTGTTAATATAATAGAGATTATCATGTAATGGTAAAATTGATATAATAGAATATATAATTGATATTATATGGTAATAGAGAGATTTTTAGATAGTGCCTAGAAAAACTACAGGACTAAGGATATATAGCTTATATTGTTAATATAATAGTGATTATCATATAATAATAAAATAGATATAATAGATAATATATGATATAATAATAATAAAATTGATATAATGGATGATATATTTTATTAATTTATTATATTATTATATATATTATATGGTGATAGAGATTTTTAGCTACCTCCAATATAACAGCCGGATAGATCAGGAAAGTAGATAGTGCCTAGGAAAACTACAGTTTTGAGTGTTTATTATATAGTGGTAAAATGGATATAATAGATGATATTTTATATGGTAATAGAGAGATTTTTAGCGAATAGATCAGAAACTACTTGTATTTAAGTAGATAAGGCTTAGGAAACAAATTATTTAAAGACTGAGGATAGATATCTGATATTATTAACATAAATAAAGTTATAATATTCATTATTAGTATTATCTAATGCTAACTTATGGTTAAAACTATAAGCTAACCGTGTGTTTAATTTTAGAGCTTTATAAAAGAGGTAGTTATAATATTTGATATCGATAGTGAAAAAAGATTGATAAAAAATTATTTTAAAGAATGCTTAATACAAAACAAAAAAATTAGGAGGTGGGTTCGAAATAAAAAATCAAAAGCTAAGTTGGGATCATCAAATATAAAATATGGCGACAACAAATATTTATTAGAGTATTTTTTAAAGTCTTTAAACTTTTTGTGAAACAATATCTTCCACTACATATAAATATAGTGGTAAAAATAAATTGATGAATAGAAATTCGGTATATTAAATATATAATAATATTGTAAATGATAATTGAAACTAATAAGGAATATATAATATTATAAACTTACCTTGACTTAACATCCTTTTAATGCCTCTTTCGATTTCTCGCAGGGATTCCCCCCGTGGCCGCCTGCAGCAACTCGCGATTCGCCATCGCCAACGACACGTTTTGCCGGCGCAAGCAGAACAACAACAACAAGAACCAGAACCACAAGGTGGTGCGGGAGAGCGGGGCCAAGCGGAAGTACAACTTCACCATTACGACGCTCTCGCGTTCGGCGGCCAAGGATTCGATTGGCGGCCAGGGCCAAATGAAGCCGCTGCGCCAGCAGCCCGTCAATCTGAATACCCAGCAGCAGCAGCAGCAGCAGAAGTCGCAGCTGCAGCAGCAGCAGCAGCAGCAGCAGAGGAAGAACCAGCGGGAGCCAGCAGCAGTGAGTATGAATCCAACGCAGTTCACCATTCCGCGGAACGGCGTCTTCATAGCCGTCAACGAGTGGTCGGAGCCGATGGCCAACAGCTCCTCCAATAGTCACCAGCATCATAGTCATCATCATCATCACCACCACAATCACCATCATCACAGCAGCAGCAGCAATAGCAACAACAGCAGTAGCAACAGCAACAGCAACAGCATCAACAACAACAGCAGCAGCAACAGCAACAGCAGCAGCAACAAGTTGTACGAGAACGAGTGCGTCGCCTTGGCGCAGCAGCAACTGAGAGCAGCCGCTGCCCAGGCGGCGCAGGCAGCCGCCACGGCGGTGGCCATTGTGAGCTCGGAACAGGCGGCACCTCAGGCCACCATGCCCATCTATGCGCAGGTTAACAAGCAGCACAAGCTCAAGAAGAAGCAACAGATGGCAGGCAGCGAATCGCAGGCGAACAACAATGGGGAATCGATCATGGAGGCGGTCGGTGGTGGGGAATCGCCCGCAGGAATCCCCGACAACGACAACGGGGAGGCCGGCAGCGATCAGTCCGAGTCGCAGGTGGAGGAGCACTCCATCTACGCCAAGGTGTGGAAGGGACCGCGCAAGACGACCGAATCGAAAATGTAATTGCCAGCGAGCGGGAGATTTGCCAGCCCACCAACTTCCCGTGTCCAAATTCCTATCCCTCGCCTTTGTTTCGCTTATCAGTTTTCTATACTTTTTTTTTATTGCTGATAATTTGCGCGACGCTTAGTCACTCGGGGGGCTTTCTTTCTTTTTATTATTATTTCTGTGCGCTATGAGTTGTGTGCTTTTAGTTGTTTAAGCAAATTTCTGTTACCACATGTGTATGATTTATATATTTACAACTGATTTGCCAGCAGATTGTCATAACTTTTGCGAGGTAATTGCATCACTTTTTGTACCTTTTGAGCTATGACAAACTTGTGGCGGTCACTTTTACTTTTCATTTTGTTTACCTCCCATTTTTAAGTGAATTTCCAAACTTGATTGCATTATAATTAGATTGCTTTGCCTCCGCTTTGCAGCACGCATGATCCGGGTAGCAGCAGTCGCCTGATAATAGCCACATCCGCAACAGCAGCAGCGACCACATCCTCGGGAGCGGCGATAGTTGCAGCAGGCAGCCGCAGCAAGATGTGGACATGCATCAAATGTTCCTATGCCTACAATCGACTCTGGCTGCAGAGCTGCGAGATGTGCGAGGCGAAGCTGGAGCAGCAACTTCTGCAGCAGCAGCAGCAGCAACAGGCAGTTGTGTCCTTTGGCCAGGAGAAAGGTAAAGTTAATTTCATTTAATTTATTTATTTAATATCCCAGCGCTTCAAGTGCACACTTGATATTTTTAAGTTAATATTTTAACAATTTTTCTCACTTACTTAATTACTAACAGCAAATATTTTTTAATTTTCTAATTACTATTATATTACTTTAAATTTTTTGTAATAGTTATATAGTTTTCTATGCATTTATCATTATTATTTTTATATTTTATTGCATAAAAGCACACTTATAATTATTACGCTAGTCACATTGAGTTGATACTTTTAACTTGTTATTATTTTTAAAATATTTAAACAATTTTCCTCACTTACTTACTTGATTACTAACATCAAATATTTTGTAATTTTCTAATTACTATTATATTACTTTTAATTTTTTTTTAATAGTTATATAGTTTTGTATGCTTTTATAATCCTTATTATTATTTTTATATTTTATTATATTATTTTATTGTTATTATTAATTTTTAATGATCTTTAACTTTATTATAAGCCTTTAAATATATTACTCCAAATCTTCAGTAACCAATGCTCTGTTTTCCAGCAGCAGCCCCCCGCGACGAGCCGTGGACCTGCAAGAAGTGCACCCTGGTCAACTACTCGACGGCCATGGCCTGCGTGGTCTGCGGCGGCTCCAAGCTGAAGAGCATCTCCTCCATCGAGGACATGACGCTGCGCAAGGGCGAGTTCTGGACCTGCGGCCACTGTACGCTGAAGAACTCGCTCCACTCGCCGGTGTGCAGTGCCTGCAAGTCGCACCGCCAGCCGCAGCTTTCGATTTCCTCGCTGGAGGCGGTTCGCGAGCGACCCGATGGCCAGTCGTACGAGGAGCAGGATGCAGTGGCAGCAGCGGCGGCAGGAGGAGGAGGTAGCACAACTAGTAATAGCGAGGTGAAAGCACCGGCAGCAGCAGCTCTCAATCTGCCGCTGGCCTCGGTGGCGCTGCCCCTGCCGCTTCTGCAGATTCCAACGACCTCGGCGGCTGGGCTGCGTGGCTCGCGCAGTCCCTCGCCCAGGATGCAGCCATCGCAGCAGCAGCAGCAGCGAAGTTCCAGCTCCACCTCCTCCTCCTCGGGCGCCATACCCAAACGGCACAGCACCGGCGGCTCCATTGTGCCCAGGAACATCTCGCTGGCCGCTTTGGCCTCCAGCTACAATCTGCAGCAGCAATCGGCAGCTTCTGCTCCCGAGAGTTCCAGCCTGAAGAAGTGGCAGTGCCCGGCCTGCACGTACGATAATTGTGCCGCTTCCGTTGTCTGCGACATTTGCTCCAGTCCGCGCGGCCTGGCGAGCGCCGTGCTGGGCGAAGCGCTGGCCAGGAAGTCGATACGCGTGGCGCTCACCCCGGCGGACATTCGGCAGGAGAGCAAGCTAATGGAGAACCTGCGCCAGCTGGAGGAGACCGAGGCGCTGACCAAGTGGCAGAACATCATTCAGTATTGCCGCGACAACAGCGAGCTCTTCGTCGACGATTCGTTTCCGCCGGCGCCGAAGAGTCTGTACTACAATCCGGCGAGCGGAGCGGGCGAGGGCAATCCGGTGGTGCAGTGGCGCCGGCCGCACGAGATCAACTGCGACGGCGGTGCGTATCCGCCGTGGGCCGTCTTCCGCACACCGCTGCCCTCGGACATTTGCCAGGGCGTCCTGGGCAACTGCTGGCTACTCAGCGCCCTCGCTGTGCTGGCGGAACGCGAGGATCTGGTGAAGGAGGTGCTGGTCACCAAGGAGATATGCGGCCAGGGAGCGTACCAGGTGCGCCTCTGCAAGGACGGCAAGTGGACGACCGTGCTGGTCGATGATCTGCTGCCGTGCGACAAGCGCGGCCATCTCGTCTACTCGCAGGCCAAGCGCAAGCAGCTCTGGGTGCCGTTGATCGAGAAGGCCGTGGCCAAGATCCATGGCTGCTACGAGGCTCTTGTGTCGGGCCGAGCCATCGAGGGCCTGGCCACGCTGACGGGGGCGCCCTGCGAGAGCATTCCGCTGCAGGCGAGCAGCCTGCCCATGCCCAGCGAGGATGAGCTGGACAAGGACCTGATCTGGGCCCAGCTGCTGAGCTCGCGCTGCGTGCGATTCCTCATGGGCGCCAGCTGCGGCGGAGGCAACATGAAGGTGGGTTTAATGGCTATTGGAGTCCTGCAGGAATGGATTCAATTAATTATTTTGAAGTTTTTGTTTTATGTGAATGAATTAGATAGAATTTCGAGTTTAATAGAATTGAATTTCGAGTTTAATAGAATGAATTATGAATTACTTTGAATTTTTTGTTGTATATGAATGAATTAATTAGAATTTCAAGTTTAATAGAATGAATTATGAATTATTTTGAATTTTTTGCTTTTAATAGAATTAAATGGATTTGAATTTTGAGTTTAATAGAATGAATTATGAATTATTTTGAATTTTTTGCTTTTAATAGAATTAAATGGATTTGAATTTTGAGTTTAATAGAATGAATGATGAATTATTTTAAATTTTATTGTTTTATATGAATGAATTAATTAGAATTTTGATTTTAATAGAATTGAATTGATTTAAATTTTGAGTTTAATAGAATTGAATGAATTCAGAAATAATTCAAACGACAATTTGTGTAGAAGAAAGGGCCATAATTTTGTGATTAAATCTGCCTGAATTTTATTCACTATGCAGTTAACATTGAATTATTAAAAATTGTCCACTTGTTGTTTTAAAAAGCACAAAAAAATCTGGCAAATTCATAAAAATTATTCATTCAATTCGAAATGAATTAGAAGAACATTCAATTTATTTCACTTGGAATTGAATTAAACAAATCGGAAATTTCATAGCATACTATAATAAAACAAAAATTGAGTGATTCATGCACAGCTCTAATACCTATACTATATAATCTATATGTAATTACCGGTTAACTTGTGATTCCAGGTGGACGAGGAGGAGTACCAGCAGAAGGGTCTGCGACCGCGACACGCCTACTCGGTGCTGGATGTGAAGGACATCCAGGGACATCGGCTGCTCAAGCTGCGCAATCCCTGGGGTCACTATTCGTGGCGCGGCGACTGGTCGGATGACTCCTCGCTGTGGACGGACGACCTGCGCGATGCTCTAATGCCGCACGGCGCCAGCGAGGGCGTCTTTTGGATCTCGTTCGAGGATGTGCTCAACTACTTCGACTGCATCGACATCTGCAAGGTGCGCTCCGGCTGGAACGAGGTGCGTCTGCAGGGCACTTTGCAGCCCTTGTGCTCCATCTCCTGTGTGCTGCTCACCGTGCTGGAGCCGACGGAGGCGGAGTTCACGCTCTTCCAGGAGGGGCAGCGCAACTCGGAGAAGTCGCAGCGCTCGCAGCTGGACCTGTGCGTTGTGATATTCCGCACCCGCTCGCCGGCGGCGCCGGAAATTGGTCGTCTGGTGGAGCACAGCAAGCGGCAGGTGGGTGTTTCGCCTGCTACATAAGAGCAGGGTTCGGAAAATAGCGCACAATGTAAAAAACTTGGGTTATTAACATGTTTAAATGTCCAAGTGTTGAGTTCAAAAAGAGTTATTGACTTGTGTGTAAAAACTTGTTTCCTACATGTATGTTAGAAACATAAATAACGCACACATTTCAATTGTGTTATTTACACGACGTGTTTTTTACACAGCATGTTTTTAACACGAGTTTTTTTTACATTAAATTGCTTTTTCGACTCGTTAATGTCAGTGAAATTAAATTTTCATTTGTGTTAAAAACACAGTGTGTAAAAAACACATCGTGGTATTAACACATTGTGTAAAAACACAAGTGAGCTGTGTGTGTTAACAATTATTTTTCACTTTATTCATTTCATTTTAACACTTTTGTATTTGACACACATGTAAAAAATGTTTTCAACATCAATTCAGTTAACTAAATCCTTACCATCCCACAGGTTCGCGGCTTTGTGGGCTGCCACAAGATGCTCGAGCGGGACATTTACCTGCTGGTCTGCCTGGCCTTCAATCACTGGCACACGGGCATCGAGGATCCGCACCAGTATCCGCAGTGCATCCTGGCGATACACAGCTCCAAGCGGCTGCTCGTCGAGCAGATCAGTCCCTCGCCGCACCTCCTCGCCGACGCCATAATCAGTTTGACCCTGACCAAGGGTCAGCGGCACGAGGGGCGCGAGGGCATGACCGCCTACTACCTGACCAAGGTAAGTGGATCTAAATATTGGAAAAGAGAAGTCTTAACTTTATTCCCTTTGCAGGGCTGGGCGGGTCTGGTTGTGATGGTGGAGAACCGGCACGAGAACAAATGGATCCATGTGAAGTGCGACTGCCAGGAGAGCTACAATGTGGTGTCCACGCGGGGCGAACTCAAGACGGTGGACTCGGTGCCGCCGCTGCAGAGGTTGGTTCTCTTTGTTTTCCTTACAAAACACTTAATTAATTATTAATTATAATCCCCAGACAAGTGATCATCGTGCTCACCCAACTGGAGGGCAGTGGCGGCTTCAGCATCGCCCACCGGCTGACCCATCGGCTGGCCAACTCGCGCGGCCTTCACGACTGGGGGCCGCCCGGCGCCACCCACTGTCCGCCCATCGAGAATGTCCACGGATTGCACGCCCCGCGGCTGATCACCTAGAACTCTAGTCGATTTTTTGTCAACGTATCACTCACACACACATCACAGCGAAGGAAAACCAAAAGCTAAAACCAACCATCAGGCAAAACAAAGCATATATATGTGTATAGATCCGTGCAGATATATCTGATATATGTGTGTTTATGTACTAAGGCGGGAGCAGATCGTTCGGGATGCGGATGCGGATGCAGAGTCCGGAGACCTCGGCACAATTCCCTCGAGATCAAATGATATATGTTTTGATTTGAGCGCCGATGATTATGGATTATATAGATATGTATTGTGAATTTAAGTGCATCCAATATTAATATGTGTATTGTTTTAAAAATAAAGACTACAAGTTATAAAAGCCAACAGCATTTGAGTAGGAAAAGAAGATTAGAGGCAAACAAAATGATGGAAGCTTATGAAATTTAATATATATTTTATTTGCTATATAATATTTTAACTTGTGGGCTTAAAAGATATTATCCTTCTATTTTTTTCTGTCAATTCAATAACTATTTGAGTTTTATTCTTTAATAAGTATATTTTATAATGAAGAATATTTATATGATATTTATTATTATTTTTCAATTCGAATTACGAAACGGTCTTTCTAAAATGTTACCGTTAGCCTAGTGAGACCTTTCGTGGCTCTTCCCCTGGTATTCTAAATCGATAACTGCGCGGTCACACTGCTGACGTTCGTTTTCGTCATCGATAGGCGCTATCGATACTATCGACACTGTTGCATTTGCATTTGCCAAAAAAAAAAGAACGAAAACGAAAAAAAGCTGGGCGAAAATGCCAACCGAATTTGGCAGGCTAATCGAGTGAATTAATCGCGGATCTAAGCCAGAATTTGAACGCAGCAGCTGACCAGCGGACGAGCGGACGAGCGGACGAGCGACGAGCGGAGCGGTAAGAGAAGTGCATCCGTTCAGCGTTCAGCATTCGGCGGACATGAACGAAGAAATCGTGCGGGAGCAGCAGCAGCGCGGCGGCGAGGAGTCCACCTCGTCCTCCTCCTCCGTCTCGCCAAAAACTGCAGCAGCGGCGGCAGCGACGGCGGCGGCGGCAGCAGCGTCGGCGTCGATGACGTTGGCCTCGGCGGCCTTGGAATCGCAATCCCCGCACAGCCAGCCCCCCGCCATTGGAGCAGGTGCATCCTCATCTCCATCGCCATCTCCATCCGGCGGGCAGGAGAAGCACCCGATGAATGCCACCGATATGCGCGAACTGCGCGACATCAAGCAATTGCTGTGGGGCGACAATGTGCGCGAAGATGTATTCAAGCGTTGGTCTCAAGGTAACCACCCAATCACCACCCTCCACCCAAAACCCACCCACCCACACCCACCACCCACTGCAAAGACAAAAAGCGCGCCCTTTTTTTTGCTCCCATCCATGATTTTTGACCAATTGGAAAGGGGCAGAAGCTTGTCCCAGGTCATGTTCATTCATGTTTACTTCTATTTTCCTGATAAAATAACAAATTGGAATATTTATACCAAGTTAGGGAACCCCATATCATGATCAAACAGCCAAAATCGAAGAGATTTATCATTAAACTTGGCCCAGGTCATGTTCAAAATACTTATACTTGGAATGTATTCAGTTTAACCAACGGAAATTCTATTTTTATACTGATTCCTATGATAATTTGTATGATAATAAATCAAAATTGAAAGAAAATTCAATTTTGGCTTTCTTATGATGGTTCCTAACTATAATCTTCATTGCTTGTTATCAAATTGAGTACAATAATTCCAGTTTAATAGTCATAAAATTCTATATTATATAGCTTACAATATGATTTAATTATAATATTAAACCCTAGATTTGCATCTTGGGTTTTATTAACCTTTAGAAAGGGTTCCTAGATATTTTCTTCAAAATATTAAATTTTTTAACAAATTGAGTACAGTAATTCGAATTTATTAGTCTTAAAATTATATATAATATAATTTAATTATAATACTAAACCCTACATTTTTATCTTGGGTTTTATAAACCTTTAGAAAGGTTTCCCATTTTTTTTTAACAAATTGAGCACAGTAATTCGAATTTATTAGTCTTAAAATACTATATAAAATAATTTAAAATGTAATTTTATTTTATAAACCTTTAGAAAGGGTTCCCAAATATTATCTTATTAAATTGAGTAGAACAATTCAAGTTAATTAGTCATAAAACTCATTTAACTCATTTGAAATTCATTATAAAAAACACTAACCCCCTGTTTAACCCCCTGCAGGATTCGAGTTTAGTAAAGTGGAGCCGTCGGCATTGGTGCAGAAGCAGGGCGGTCCTTGTGCTGTGATAGCGCCGGTGCAGGCGTACTTGCTTAAGATAATTATCATGAGCATGTCGGACGCGAAGCTGTCGGAGGTAAGTACCCTACTACATTTGCACTCTCAGATATAAAATATATCTCCATTTTCACTCCCCCAGATCCCCCACGACAAATGCCAGACGCTGCTGATCCAGGCATTGTGCAACATCCTGCAGAACTGTCGGCCGCCGCGCTACCGCATCGTCCATCTCTTGCGCCGCCGTGTCGGCAACGCTACAGAGGCTGCTGGTTCAACCAAAGAGCGCTCGCCAGTTGCCGATCTGGCAGGAACTGCTGCTGCTTCTGCTGCTGCGGCTGGCCTGGCCGAAGAGGCAGCCGCCGGCGGAGGCGGAGGAGAAGGCGTTGAGCTGGCGGCCGAGGCCACACCCGCCTCGGTAAACGAGCTATCCCAACATGGCGAACATGCCGAACAGGATCCGCACTGGGAGCTGTCGCCGGATGAGTTCCACGAGCGCCTGCACACGCTTCACTTCGAGGATATCGGCGCGGTGGCCCGCTACTATGTGGACAACTACGGCCAGCTGGCGCACACATATGGCGTCCTGCTGTTCATGTACTCGGTGTTTCTCACCAAGGGCTCGGAACTGGTGGCCGCCGATATATCGGACACCTCGGAGCCGCTCATACACAGCACCTACGGCTATGGCGGCCAGTCGCTGATCAATCTGATGCTAACCGGCCGCGCCGTCGCCCATGTCTGGGACAATGAGCAGGATGTCGGGGGGCTCAAGCTGCGCGGCATCTGCGAGCAGAGCGACATTGGGTTCATAACGCTGATGGAGCAGATGCGCTACTGCACCGTCGGCTCCTTCTTCAAGAATCCGCGCTATCCCGTCTGGGTGATGGGCTCCGATACGCATTTAACCGGTGAGTCATTGTGGATTTTACATGGCATATATTTTGCATATTTGTCCATTTTTGGTCCGATTTTGATTAAAATTTATAGGTAGGAGTCATGTTTTTAAAATGTTATAAATTCAGATGCATATCGGAAATATGAAAAAAATTTGCAAAAAATATATGCATAAAATATGCAAAAAATATATGCATAAAATATGCAAAAAATATATGCATTAAATATGCAAAATATGCCAAATATCGTTGGAAATATAAATAGGGTTTCCATAAATTTGGGAAAAAATTAGAAATCTCAGAAATGACGAAAAGGAACAAACAGTTTTCTTCGGCTATGAAATGGTCAATCTTGGTCAAACTATATTTTTATTGAAACGAACTTTGGTGTTTTCGGAATTGATCTATCTTTATCCTATAAAAATATGCAAATACTGATTATTCCCTATTTATTTCTTCAACAGTTCTGTTTAGCAACGAAAAGAGGCTTGTCTCGCCAGAGACGCCCTCGGAGACGGGTCGTCGGATCTTTAAGTCCTACGACCCGGAGGGCAACAATTTCATATCGACCACCATGCTGCGCGATGTTCTGGCCGCCTTGAATTTGGTCAGCGAGCCGGCCTAGTAAGCTTGCAGTCGTTTCTCCAAGAGGCGGTTTTTTAAAAGATTTCCCTCTTCTACTTGGCAGCGTGGCCCTCATGCAGAAGCGTCTGGATCCGGAGAACCTGGGCATCATTCTGCTGAACGCCTTCATGGACGAGTTCTTCCCCCTGGAGCGCCGCTCCACGCCGGACACCTTCGAGCTGATGCACTACAATGGCATACCGGGCTCCAATGAGAACAACAGGGTGGGCTAAACTGACAATATATTATTCAGAGTTCGGAAATTAACACACATGTTAAAAACATGACAAATTTTATTCTACAGTGTGAGCAAAATTGTTGACAATTGTTAAAATGTGAAAAATAATTGTTAACACACACAGCTCACTTTTGCTTTTTACACAATGTGTTATGAACACGACTTTTCTTTTTAGACACTGTGTTTTTAACACAAATGAAAATTAAATTTATACTCTAGAAAACCGTGCAATTTTCAGTTCAACATACAATTCTGACACTTTAATGTCAAAAACTCATTGTGTTAAAAACGCGCTGAGTAAGAAACACGTCGTGTAAATAACACAAATGACATGTGTGTGTTATTTATGTTTCTAACATATGTTTACACACAAGTCAACAACTTTTTTTGAACTTAACACTTTGAGATTGAAACATGTTAATAACACAAGTTTTTTACAGTGTGTGTTATTTTCAAAACCCTGATATTATTATAAGTAATTATTTTTTATTGATTATTTTAATTTTAATCCCTTTGTGCAGGTGCGCTACTATTGCGGATCGGCCATACTATTAGAGGGCGACCTGAAGTCGATCTGCACCTCGAACCCGATGGTCACCTGCCTGCAGACCAAGTGGCCCAATATCGAGATCAACTGGCACGACGCCCACATGCCGTCCTTGAATTGACGCCGCCAAGGGGAAGGAGGTCAGCCGAGGAAACCAAAAGGACGAAGCCCAGGAGTCACTGGAACGGAGGAGAAACCACAGCTGTAGACACAACAAGATAGCACTTTTTTATTTCAAACACCCTTCAAAGAATTCTTTTTTTTTTGTTTTTTCGTATTTATTTGAGCACCTTTTTTTCCAAAAACTGCTGGAGTGGAACGCACCAACGCAAACCATTAACAAAAAATAAAAGAAACATAAACACAAGTTACAAAACACAGCAGCTAAGCACTAAGAAATGCGCTTTTGAAGAGAGCTGCAGCCATGTTGAAGAGGAATCGGCAGGAGAATAGAAGATTCACGCCAAGCGTTGACTCAAAAACACATAAAACACCCAAAAAACAGCACCCAAAATGATATTCCATATTTGCAAATATGGAAATTAAAATAAAAAATACAAAAAAAAGGAAACAGAAAGAGAAATAAGAAGGGGAAAAAGAAAGAACCTACATCTAATAAGAACTCAAAACTTAATTTCAAACATTGTACGTTTAAATTTGCATTGCAAAAACGAAACGAAACTCAACTAAAAATACAGGCAACACAAATATACCTTTATGAATAAACTAAAACTAAAACTAAAGAACAAATCGTAATTGAGAATTAGACAAAGCAGAAGCGAAAGCGAAAGTATAAACAAAATTTGTTTTTGGCCTTTTAACAAATTACTTGTAGTGTTAAACGATTTAATAAAATTAAATAAACACAGGATGCATAACGCATAGGAGAACCTAACATCAAAGCGAAAGAGACAGGGAAACAGGGAAAGAGAGAGAGAGCAAAGCAAAGATTACTTCGACGTGAAACAAAAAACTAAGTATAAATTAACAAAGAATAAAAACAAACAAATAATTCAATTTAAAAAATAAACAAAAAACCTAAAAATCTCATTAAAATGTTGTGCATTTTTTTTGTGCTGCGAATTAAAGGCGTCTCTTTTTTACGACCTCCTTTCTCGGCAGAGTTTTTGCTATAGTTCCCCACTTTTATTCCAAAGGTGTCAAACATTTCAATGGTCATAAAACAATATCTATGTGTGTTTAAATAGGCGTCCACCACAGGCTTCAATATCTCGCCCATGCTAAATGTTTTCTGGTTAACACTAAATACGAAATCAGTTTGAGAGAACGTTAATAACATTTGGAAAATTTTTCTTTTCTTTGGAAGGACTCTTCCACCTTTATACATAAATGTGATAACCCAACACCAAACCAAAATTCAGCTTAAGATCGTTGCACATAAGTTATACCACTGAACAATTGGGTAGCGTTAATCACATTAACCGAAATTAGATCCCCGAGATCCTGGGACTCTTCTCAAGTTTTCGTAAAATGTTTACAAATTATTCCATGTTGCCTGAGTTGCTTACTATGAAAATAACTACAAATAAACAATAGCCATTCTGAATGTATTTACTGCAGAAATAACATTTAATTTAACATTATTTTCGGCACTAGGTTTCTTATAAAACTGTTCCCAACAACGATATAATAAATCTACTATTGAAAATACCCCTCTTGTTTCTATAAATAAACTATGCACAGGCTAATAGGACAATAACTTTTATTAAGAACATTTCTGTAATGCGTATGCAGTTGATATTCACAATTCTTTAAAACTTGCATAGTAGAGGAATCCACATCAAGATGTGTATAATTCACAATTCCAATTAATATATATATATATAGATAGTTTTACTTCACACAAATCAAGCTTAATTCAAACACAATCATCTAGTAATGCGAACGGTAGCCGCGCTCCTTGCCATCCATGAATATCTGTATGTCCAGTCGATAGTGACGTGGCCTGCGGTGCATCCGCCTCATCCCCTCATCCATCATCTCCTTCTCCATCATCTCCATCATCTCGCCGGGCATCGGATCTCATTTGACATCGAGCAGCCGTCGCTGGAACATCTGCATGGCCAAATTTCGCAGTCCCTCGCCCACGATGGGCACGCTGCGCGGGAACTCGCACTCGCGGGCCGGCAGGCCGCACAGCTGGCGGCGCAGTCGCAGATCCTGGCGAGCACTCAGCGCTCGACTTCCCGGCCCACAGACATTGCCCACCAGTCGCTGGCGCTCGGCGGCGGCGCTGCGCAGACCCATCTGCACGCAGGCCAAGGGCTCCAGTTGCTGTGAACTGGCCAGGAACTCACGATAGTCCATCAGGGACGAGGTTATCTTGGCCGGCGGCTCTCCGTCGCCATCCAGTTCCCTGCGTTCCCGCTCACGCTCCTTCTCCTGGACGAGCTGCTGGCGCGCCTCCTCCATCACGCGACGCGCGTAGCTCTCGCCGGCCATGCCAAACGAAATGCCCATGTCGAGGAGCACGCGATGCGGCTGCCAACGCTGCTTGGCCGAGGTGCCACGATCCACGCCCTGCTGGGCCGCCGCCGCCGCCGCCTCGCTGGCCTGCTGCCGGGTCTCGGCTATCAATCCCTGCCAGTCCACGCCGAGGGCGTCGCCGATGCCTGTAAAAAAGCGATGATTAATGGGAGTTAAGTCATGTGAGTAGGAAATCTATGGCTGAGAATGATATCATCAGCGGAAAATGCATTACTGATATATAGACCTCGGATTTAGCATATTTTTGTCCATTTTTGGTCCGATTTTTACCAAAGTTTCTAGGTAGGTGTCATAATTTTTCAAATGTAATAAATTCGGATGCATTTTGGAAATATGCAAAATATATATGAATAAAATAAGCAAAATATATACAAAATATGCAAAATATATGCATAAAATATGCAAAATATATGCAAAAAATATGCAAAATATATGTAAAATATATGCGAACAACTGGAGGCTCACATTTTTAATGCCTCGCCTTCTCGTTGGAAATATAAATAGGGTTTCCTTAAATTTGGGAAAAATTAGATACCTCAGAAATGGCGAAAAGTAACAAACAATTTTTTGGGTAAATTAGGTTGGCTATAAAATGGCTAATCTTGCATAGTTGAGTTTATTTTATATTTTGCATACTTTATGCATATGCCATTAATTTTAATTTTTGGTGTTTCCGAAATTGAAATATCTTTATCCTATAAAAATATGCAAATATGCAAAATCGAGGTCTACTGATGTACATACCTTTGTGCCGAGCGTCCTCCTCCAGCTCGCCATCGGATATCTCCTCAAAGTCCAGCACCTCGTCCACCTCCTCGCCCTTGATCTGCAGGCACTCGTTCTTGGCCTCCTCCCCGTTGGCCTCCATTTCCTGATCCATTTCCGCGGGCAGCTCGCTCTTGGGCCGCACCTTGTCCGTTTTGTTCAGTATGTCATCGTCGCTGTCGCTGATCTCGCTCAGCTCGCCCTCCACCGTCGCTGCCGTCGAGCGCATTGGTTCCAGCTTCACGGGATTTCCCTCGCCGATCAGATTCTGAGTGGGCGAATCCTGGGCGCCCAGCTCCGGGGTGCCAGCCGAGTCCTCCGAGGCGTCCTCCTGCTTGATGCACACCGCGTTCAGTTTGCTCACCTGAAAGAAAAGCAAACCGATTAGAAAGCGGATCACCAAGTGCCGCCTAGCTTTACCATCTTCTCTAGGAAATGTAGTTGCTAGCTGGCTGGGAAGTGGTGTTCAAATGAACGATGTTGGCCCAACAGGGGCCTTTGCATATAGGCATATAAACAAAATATGAGACGATGAACGCACTTGATATGCTTATGAGGCAGGGTCCAAAGTCAACGAAAAGCACAACGCACCTGAGCGAGTATTCCGGGATTGGTGGTGGCATTGGCGGCGCTCTGGGCCGCCGCCTTCGCGGCTGCCACTGCGGTGGTTGCGGCCGCCACGGCGCTCGCCTGGGCGGCTGCATTGGGCTTCCCGGCTGCGCTTCCTCCTCCTCCTCCGCCAGCATTCATTAGAGGATTCAGCAGCGGCGTCTGCGTGGGCGAGACGAGCGGTGCATGGGCATGCTGCTTCTTGGGAAAGCTGGCGGACGATCCACCGCCTCCTCCTCCTGCATCCCGGCCACCGCCGTAGGGCAATCGCTTGTGGGGAAATCCACGGGAATAGCCGCCCGGTGGCTGCACGGGCAGCGTCATCAGCGGCGGCGGATGCGATCTGTAGCCGGGACGCTCGCCGTGATCGTGATGGCCGCCGCCGCCGCCTCGTCGAAATCCCCTTCCCGATCCTCGCTCGCCACGCGCATGAACATGATGATGCGGGGAGGCTGGATGCGGATGGTTGGATGGCGGTGGCGGTGCGTCATCGTTGTCCCGCCAATCGCCGCCGGAATTTGAGGATTGCTGCTGCTGCTGCTGCCAGGCGCGCGGCTTCTCCCGCTGATCGTGCTCCAGCCAGGCGGGCTCGCTTTTAATGGAAGGCCTGTCGGCGCCTCCTCCATCCGGGCGATCCTCGCGATCTCTGTCACGCTCCCGATCGCGCTCTCTCTCCCTCTCCCGCTCGTCGGCATCCCAGTCGGGCTCCGAGGCGGAATGGTGCTGCTGCTGCTGCGGCGGAGGTCCTCCGCCCGGATGCGTCGAGGGTTTGCCCCGCTTGGGTCCGCCCACAAAGCCACCGGGCGGTCGGCCGGGGGTTCCACTGGGTCCGGGACCACCGGTACCGCCGCCACCGCCGCCGCCGCCCTCCTCATCCCAGTCGCGCTCCCAATCCGGCCGGAAATCGCCGCGCGGCCCAATATTGCGCTCCCGCTCCCTGTCGCGTTCCCGTTCCCGCTCCCGATCCCGCTCCCTGTCGCGGATCAGACGCTCCCGCTCGTCCGGATACAGGCTGTCCTCGGCCTCCAGGTCGCGGTACTCGCGTCCCTGCAGCTCCCGCTCCCGCAGCTCGCGGGCCTCCAGCCAGGCCTCTCGCTCCCGCGACGAGTAGCGGGCGTCCAGATAGGCGCGCTTGTAGGCCCTGAAAATTAGGGATTTTACATCAAAAAGATTAGAGAAAGGTTAATTACTCCCTGCTACCTGAAAAGGTAGCTAAAGGAAGTGCAAGGGAGAGGGAGACGTGCAAACAGCAAAGCCACTGCTTGCACTGCTTGAATTTCAATATTTGCTTTGCTCATAACTTTTTGAAGAATGATCCGATTTGAAAAATTTCTTCTACATTTTAATAGTTATAAGTACGAACATCAAAATAACACTTAAACTTTTTGGAGATATGCAAACGGCAAAGCCACTGCTTGCACTGCTTGAATTCTATTATTTGTTAATAACTATAAGTTAATAACTATAATAAAATAATAAGGAAAACAAAATTGCATTTATACTTTTTCCAAGTCTTTAACGATGTGGGCGTAAGACATATTTTAAAATCGTTTAAAGCGATTGTGGGCGTGGCACTCGGATGAAAAAAACTTGCGCTGCGTAAGAACCCTAAGAATTTGCATGGTTACATCCAACTTTCTAGCTTTTCTAGTTTCCGAGACCTCAGCGTTTATACGGACAAACATACGGACATGGCTAGATCTATACTTATACCTATACTTTTGAACGAATACAATATATACTTTCACTCTACGAGTAATGGGTATTAAAAAAGCCCCTTCACTCACCTCTCTCGCTCCTCCTCGGAGTACATTTCCCGCGGATCCCGCATCCTGGGCGCATAGTGCTCGGGCAAGGGACTTAAATCCCTGCGTCGATACCTCCGCATCTCGTCCATCAGCCCGTGGCCATGTCGCTCCTCCAGATACTCCTGCTCCCGCTCGTAAGGGTCCAACTCCCGCTTGTCGCGCACATGACGACCGCCTCGTTCTCGTTCCCGTTCCCTTTCCACAGTGTCCAGCGAACGCTCCCGACTGCCGTAGGGCGGCAGATCCAAGTCTCGCCCAGGACCGCCCCGCTTGCCGCCGCCGCCGCCGCCCTCCTCCTCCTCCTGGCGGCGCAGTTTCTCGCGGGCCAAGCGCTCCCGCTCCCGCTGACGCTCCTGGCAGCGCGCCAAAGCCTCCGCGCGCTCCTTGTCCCTGGCCGCCTCTCGCTCCGCACGCTCGCGCTCCCGATCCCGGCGATCTCGCTCGCGCAGGGAGAGATCATGCCGCTCGCGCTCCCTCTCCCTTTCGCGCTCCCTCTCCCGTTCCCGCTCCCGCTCCAGGGACGGAGTGCGTCCGCGGGCCCGCGTCTGAATGATGATCTTCTCCCGCGACATCAGCTGGTGGTGCATGCGCGAGGAGGAGCTGCTCCCGCCGCCACCAAGGCCGGAACCCAAACCTGTGAGTTGAGAAAAAGATTAGTTAGTTGAACTAAAGTGGAAATTATTTATCTTACTACGTATTTAATAATTAGTGTAATAATAATAAAATATTTATAATAATAATAAATTCTAATACATTTTAAACATTAAGCTGGGAATACAAGAGTTTCCAAGTCTGAATTAGTGATCTTTTGAGCAATAAATTAAATTTTATTACTCTGTCATTTAAGGCATAGAATCCAGATTATTAGAAATACAAAATTGAGATTATTAACTTAATTGAAGATAAAGAATATAGGAAAAAACATACTGGCTATTTCCTAAACTGCTAAAAAATTTATAAATTGAATTTTAAAACCGCTGTTATTTGATAAAAAGTTTGACGGAACTTAAAATATGTTAAACTCGATTTTTGATAGTTAGTTACTGTCTAAAATATTTAGCAAGTTAAGAAGAAGGCTTTCTAATTTAAACAGGTGATATTAAAATGTTGCAGAGTTTCCATGACTTTTACTACAATAAGGTGACAACTCTGCTTTTCAACAATTTTTTATTGTTAGTGACTATCAAAAATTGTTAGGTTAGAAAGGTTTAGAACTGATGATACTAAAAGTTTGTAGAGTTGCCATGACTTTTAGTACAATAAGGTGACAACTCTGCTTTTCAAGGATTCAACAAGTGTTCAACAGCCTCTAAGTTGTTGAATTGTTGAAATTTAGGCAAAACCCTGATAATCTTGAAAAGAAATGCCTTTTTTGAGATCATTTAATCTTAGTCTATTCTTTTTTGAACATTTACATGACTTCTTGAAACGGTAAAAAATCCATAAACGGGGATTAGTTTACCTGGACTCTTTTGCCGCTTGCCCACGATATCCTGGTGGATGCGTATCTTGGTGGTGGTGGTGGTGCTGCTGCTCGGCGGACTCCTGCTGCTGCCCAGCCGATGGTGGTCGCGCTCCCTGTCCCGCTGGACGGCGCGCAGCTTGTCCCGCTCGCGCTGCTCCTTGCTGGCGGCCCTCAGCCGCTTCCGCTCCGCGAGCTTCTTGAGCTTGGCCCGCGTCGTCGGCGACAGGGAGCGATGGACATGACCGCTCAGGGCGGCGGCCGCCCTCTTCTTCAGCCGCGCCTCCTTCAGCTTCCGCTTGATGTGATTCCGCTTGGCCACCAGCTTCTTTTGCACATGATCCCGCTTATCGCGCTTGCGACGCGACGACGGTTCGTCGCCGGAGGAGCTGCCGCCGCGCCGCGAGCTCTTCTTCTTGCGATGATGTCGCTCCGCGGAGCGCGGATGATGGCCGCCATGCGGATGTGGATGCGGATGGCCGGGTGGGCCACCTGGTCCGCCCACCCCACCGCCCACTCCGGAGCCACCGCCCCCGCCTCCTCCGCCACCACCACCCCCGCCCTGCTCGCTGTCCGTGCTGCTGTACGAACTGCTGCCGCTGTCCGAATCCGACGTGGAGTCCGAGCTGCTCGAGTGCGTCGCGCTGTGGCGGGCGGCCTTCTTGTAGCGGCGCAGCGACTCCTTGGCCTTCTTCTCCATCGCCGCGATCTCCGCTAGCCTGCGCGCCTCCGTTTTGCCGGCTTTGCTTGGCCTTTCCGGTTGAATATTAGCTAGTTACTTTTGTTTTTCTCCCCGCCGATCGTTTATTTGGCCCTTCTGCTTTGTTGTCCCCTTCGCGTTTACTTTTCTTCTTTTTCTGTGTCGTGTATCTTACCGATAGCTGTGGCACACACAACACTGCGGCGTATCGATGGCACAGGGCTGGCGGAAACTATCGATAGGCGTGTCGATGCAACATCGGCGGGATAATTTAAACTACTACTACTATTTTAATCTTTATTTTAAATGTATTTTAAATAATTAGTTTTTTGACAGTGGAAATTTTGATCCAAATATAGATTGTCATACCTTTCTGAACTCGTCATTAAATTTCCAATCGATTGGCATTTAAACCTGGACATTTTATTTGTTTGCCATTTTTCGTAAAAAATCATGATGTGGTTAAAAATTAAATCTTACAAAAAGTGATGGCTATCGTAAGTTAACTTGTTGGTTTTACTTTGCAATCTAGTTATCACTGCTCCTAAAATCGGGTCGTACTGCCGGCAAATTCTCAGTTAATCCTCAGTTTTGATACATTGTTCGACGTGACAACACATAACATCCCATTCTCTACCCAACTAAAAAATAAAAGCAAAATATATATATTTTTTAAGAAAGTTTCTCTACGGTTCTTGTGTGTTAATCCCTAATCGGACGTCCCTTTTTTGGGTAAAGCCGATGAATTTGCTGCGACGGCAGCCTCGGCTGCTGAGTCAACAGGGCACCTGGCTGCTGAAGAGTCGCGCGGTGGCCAAGGATGTGTCCAAACCCGTTTCCTGTCTTGCGGCGGCTATGTCCACAGCAGCGATGGCTGCCGCCGCCAATGTATCCGCCATATCCCTGGTATCCCAGTCCCTCCAATCCGGTGCCCAAGGAGGACCAGGAGGAGGGCAAAGAGCAGGTGGGTTTTTAAATATAAATCAATTGTATAAAATGTAGGGGGAATTACATGTGTTTACATAGAAAAAAAACACTATTTTTGATAATTAAAAAAAATAAATATTAAAAAAAAAAAACAATAATATATACATTTTTAAAAATGATGCTAGTTAGTATTAATATTAAATCGAAAGGATTTATATTCAATTTTCGATATGTTATGGAATATGGAAAAGCTTACATTTAATAATTATAGTTTATTTGGGTATTTTTAACTTTGATTTAAGCTTTAACATCGAATCTAATATTTTTGACCTTTTTTCAGATATTTTCAAATGTAATCATGCAATTTTATATGTTTAGTTATAAATAATTCGTTTTTAAATTAATTGAATAATAATTTAGTATTTAATTCTATTTTTATCATTTTACGATTTTTGTGCATTCTTTTAATTCTCTAATCCCAGTTCCAAAATGATATAAATAAAAAAGTTAATATACACTTTTTATGGATATTAAGTAGTTTGCAAATTTCTTGATTTTGGCCAATTATATTATATTCCAGGAGGAAGAGCCCCCCGAGGATCAGCCGCCGGAGGAACAGCCGCCCCAAGAAGGCGGTACGGAGGAGGACCAGCCCCAGCAGGAGCAGCAGCAGGAGGAGGATCCGCCCAGCCCGGAGGAGCGTCCGCCGGAAAGTCACCACCACCTGCAGGCAATGCCCCGCCCCCGCCCCCACCGCCTCCACCTACTGCTCTGCCACCTAAGCCACCTTCATCCTCATCGCCTACTGCCCCGAAGAAAACCAAGTCCTCCAGTCCGCGGATGAAGAGCTTCGAGATCTATCGCTGGAAGCCCGGTGAGCAGCCGCAGACGCAGACCTACAGTGTGGATCTGGAGAAGTGCGGTGCCATGGTGCTGGATGCCCTGATAAAGATCAAGAACGAAATGGATCCCACGTTGACCTTCAGGCGCTCGTGTCGCGAGGGCATCTGCGGCTCCTGTGCGATGAACATCAATGGGACCAACACCCTGGCCTGCGTCTCCCACATCGATCAGAATGAGAGCAAGTGCTGTAGGATCTATCCGTTGCCCCATTTGTATGTGGTTCGGGATTTGGTGCCGGATATGAGCCAGTTCTACGATCAGTATCGATCCATTCAGCCCTGGCTGCAGCGCAAGGATCTCAAGCGGGAGGCTGGGACGGCTCAGTATCTGCAGTCCGTGGAGGATCGCCGTGTGTTGGACGGTCTGTACGAGTGCATCCTGTGCGCCTGCTGCCAGACATCGTGTCCGTCGTACTGGTGGAATAGCAGCAAGTATCTCGGGCCCGCCGTCCTCATGCAGGCCTATCGCTGGGTCATTGATTCCAGGTGATTTAGAAAAACATCGATAGTTTTGCCAGTCGATAATATCGATAATAAGCTAACATGGTACTTTAACAAACCATCGATAGTATCGATACTATCGATAATTATCTAAAAACAGAAAATCTAATGGAATTTTAACGAAAAATATTTTCAAAAAATTCAACAAATATTTACTAGACATAAAATATTTACTTACCCTTATTTTTCTTGAAGGGACGAGGCCACCGAACAGCGACTGGATTTCCTCAAGGATCCCTGGAAGCTGTACCGCTGCCACTCCATCATGAACTGCACGAATACGTGCCCCAAACATCTCAATCCGGCAAGGGCCATCATCCAGCTGAAGCAGCTCCTCGTGGGACTGAAGAAAAAGGAGAAGCCAGAGCTCAAGACCGACGCCCTCTTCCAGGGAAAGTAATAGGGAAAACCTAGGAGAGAATTCGACATAACGTTAATGGGGTTTATTTCAATAGGCAACACAATTCCAAGCCGAACTGATCTGATCACTCTAAACTCTAAACACTCTAAAAAATATATTTATAAGGAGAAAACACTTACGCGAATCTCATAACATATAACAAAATTTTAACACAACACTTGAACAAAACTCCTAACATATAACTAAGTTTAAACACAGGACTAAATGGACTTTACGATATAGCTATGCATAGGGCCAACAAAATAAAATAAAAAAACATAAATAAAATAAAAAAACAAAAAATGAATGCGGATATGGGGAAATAAAAAATATTTACTAATTTCCCCTTAAAAGTGTGTACACTCTATAAGATCAAGTCATCTGTTAATTGATCAATCGAAAAACAATCTTACAAATGCAAGGATGGGTAGCAAAAATAGAGAGATCGTCGTCAGGCAGATGGATTGCAGTTGGACAGATGAATCAAACTGATCCCGATTCCGATCCCCAAGCACGATCCCCGACACTCCGACGAATCCCCGGAATTTTCTCGTCGCAATTAAGTGGGAAAATGCTGTAGCTATGTGGATGTTAATGTTCGTGTCTGCACCAGACCAATCCAAACAAATAAGGAATGGAATCGGATGAAATGAGCCACTTCCCACACTAGAAAAAATTATGTTCCGTTTTTTTTAATTGATTTATTCAAAATCGAAGTACTAAAAATAAATATAGAAATAATAAATTAAAATTTAAAAAATCTATATAAATAAAATTCAATAACAAAGTTAAACTAAATATTTTAGTTTACTTATTTCAGTGGAAACTAAGGAGATGGGTTTTCCCAATTGGCCCGAGGAAGGAGTTTTTTTCGGAGGGCAGTGAATGAAGCCAACTGTGAAAACGGTCCAAACGTCTCGATGGGCGTCTAAAAATAAGCCACTGCAAATCTTCCGCCGGGCAGAGGAATTGAAAATGGAAATGGAGTGACGCGAGTTCGGAATGGAATACTTCGAGGTTGTTTTCTTTAAAAATAACAAGCCCCTCCGAACTTGTCAGCGGCCGTCGCGAAAACGGGGAAATGAAAGCAAGAAAGCAAGCGGGAAATCTTGTCACGCTCTCATTTACACAACTTGCACTTTTCTTGATGTATTTTTTGGTTGTTTTTTTTTTTAAATACCCTTTGAAAAAGTACGTTCAAACTCAGTTCATTTATGTAAAAATAAAAAAATTTCTAAAACCTCTTAAAAAGTTTCTAAATAAATGGTATAATAAAATTACTATTTAATTATTATTTATTAGAAAATAAATTGTTGCATACTTTTGGCCGCCTCTTTAAAAGGTTCGAAATCTCAAGATATTTCCGAGGCTCGATTTGTAACTTGTTTTATTTTATATATTTATTTTTATTTCGAAAGAGTATTTAAATCTTGGCTTTCCACACTTGACACATAGCTCGTGTTTATTTCTTTGGGGCTGCGACAACACTCAATCGCCTTGACACAAGCTGACAGGCACAAATCAGATGAAAAGCCTTCGGCAAGAGCCCTAGAAGATTAACCAAAGCCAGTTGATCCGCAGCTTCCCATTCTCTGCCGCCGCTGGAGAATCATTCTCCGATTCCGTCGATTCTGCAGAAGCTTAGGCTTCTGTAACATCAGGCAACAGCCAGGCGAGGAGACAATTAAAAGGCAATTCCAGCAATGCGCCTGTTTGCACCTGCCGGCCAGATATCAGCGACAAACGACATTGTCAACAATGAGCCAGCCGAGCACGATTATTACACTGGCCAGCAAAACAAAGGTAAATTTTTAATGTATTCGGAAAAGTGCTGGTTGAAAAAGAAGTTTTAAAAAAATCGATAGAGAACTAATAAAATCAAAAGAACCTCGAAAATAACTGGAGGTTTGAAATCACCTTAAATGTACCTAAAAGTATGCTGTGAAAAATTTTAACTATAATATATCGCAGCATAGTTTAATAGAACTAAAAAAAATCGACAGTTTGTTATTTATCGATATTTTATTTGTACTTTCCCGTCGAACCATCGATATTAATGAATCGATATTGTTAAAATATCGAAAATATCGATAATTTTCAAGCTTTTTAGTTTAAGTAATATTTTTTGAAATTTTGTAAATCACTTGTATAAAAACTTTTTTATTTTAAAGAATTTCTTCGACCGCATAATTTGTTGTCCAGTGCTTTTAAAAATAAATACATCACACACATGCAGACGGACTCACTCCAAAATTCTTGGAGCAAATTATGTTGGGCTGTGGAGTCTCTCGCTCCTTTGTCGCATTGCCAAGGTGTTGAGGCCGTTGACAATGTGGAGCATCCCCCCGGCCTTCTTATATTTTTTAAGCTGTTAAGCCGCCGCTGACGTCTGACAGGTGGCAAAGGAGGAATCGAAGCATCGGAGTGCGAAGAAACAGTCGTTTTCCAAACACACACATTTCGTCATAGACGCGTGCTGGAATTAGCCGCGTGCGAAAGAGAGGGGGAGTCGGAGAGTGACAGAGAAGGGGATAAGGGCCTGACCAACAAACAATCGATCCCGAGATGCCAATATTGATTGAAGAAAAAAAAACAGAAAAGCCTAAATCTCAGACTTTTTTTTCGCTATTTTAATGATATGGTGACCCCGAAGCCTTAATTCGAATTTCCAAAAGGTGACCCTGAGAGGCACTTTTCAAGCGGTGTACTTTTAGCATTTTATTTATTCGCATTTTAGATGCATTTTAAATGGTGTGGTGACCTCGATTATTTAAATATCAAGTATTAGTAGAATTTTTTTATGTGGTGACCCTAAACCGTTAATTCCAATTTCAAAAAGGTGACCTTGATCTACACTTTTCATAACTGTAAATCGTAATTAAACATATTTTTCCTAAATTTCTTGTTTTAATTTATTGGTGTGGTGACCCCAAATATTTAAGTTTCCCCCAAAATCATTAAAAAAATATTTCAAAAATACAGGTGCCTGCAAATAATCTTGAAATTCTTCTAGAAAAAGCTATGTTAGCCAACACTAACAAGGGGGAATTGTTTCCTGCTTCTTGCCCGTTAATTTGATTGCAACGCTGCTGTTGCCATAGTTACGGTTGATATAAAATCCCCAAGATTTATGGCTTTTAAATTTCCATTCATGCCGAGATCTGGCTGATTGCTCTGGCATTCAGAGCCAGAGCCAAAAGCGGATGCACAAATCAATTGTCATTTGGCATGGAGAGTTGTCTCGGGGAGAGTAAGTTACTCGTAAAATGAAGTTTTCAATAAAAAATGCCCACCACTGATTGTGTACTTTATGTCTTGATGATGGCTTTCTTAGTGGTTCGTTCTCATTTTCTTTCTCGTTGGCAATCACTTTCATTTACTTTGTAGTTGAAAAAAATTGTACTTGAATTTACTCTAGTTAATAACTGAGTTTAATGGCGAATAAGTATTTATCGTAATCAGTCATCGCTCGACAATTGAAAGAGTAAACCTATTTAATCTCTCGTCTTAAATTATATTCGCCAATCTATTTTCGAATCTCACAGTCATATTGCTCAAAGTGAGAGAACCGTGTTCGAAAAATGATGAAAAAGCTTTCATTGAAATTCTTCTAAAAGAACATTGCTTCAATGAATCACGGATGATTGATGCTTTTCATGATTTAGGTGTGCACTTAGTTGTTTTAATAATTCACAATCTATAAATATTATAAAATATTGGAAAGTTTTACTCAATATTTTTTGGAACCCATTAACAATTTAGAGTTCTATTCTAAACACTCATCGATAAGTTGGAGATTTAACTGAAGCGCGAAGCTCATTTCCCATTGAAAAGCGAGGCCCAGTTTTGCAGGTGGGCGAGGGCATCTGAACTTGGCCGATAACTTTTTGGCTTAAAGCTTTGGCCCCTGTCAGGGCTGTTTCTCAGCCAGCTCTCTCCCACACTCTCTGGCCAATTTTGCTCGCAGCGTAACGCTTGGATATGTAAATGAATTACTCGTAAATAGCTAATGTAACTACGAAAATATTTACATATGCGTAAGTGGGTGTCGGCAACCCACACACGTATTACACTAGCAAAAACTGGGAAACCGGAACTTGAAAAATCATTTAAACAATTGCGATCTTTTACAAGGATATAATACAATTTTGATTGTTAAAGCTTCCAAGTTAAAATATTTTACGATCAAAACTAAATACAGCTTTTCGGATCTCTCTAGTGTAATCATTTCATCAAGATTTTAAGGAGTTTAAGTGATGAAATATCATATATCAGCTTGTATATGTTTTATAATAATACTCAATGAGCTTAATTCGAGAACATATAATATTGGTGACCCCGAAAATACTGAAAATATATTGTTAAGTCTTTGGGTACAATTGAAGTTTACTTAATTATCTTTAAACAAATTATATGAAAGTCTATTCTCATAATTTTATTTGATTTATATTTGGTATTCAAAGCTGATTTCTATATAAGGTAGAGATCAGAGATCAGCTCACCTATTAAAAACACTTTTGGAGTAGGACATGAGAGCATGGGATTAATTTCGCGGTAGATATGCTTAAATACACATTTTTCGTTGGAATGCAGTCGTGATTTCTTCGAGTGCACGGAGCGCATTGCCACGTGCGGAGCGTTTGGAAAGCTTCGGCCCAAAAGAGCGAGCTTTGTGGCGGAGCCTACGTCACTGGGCCCCTTTTTGGGGGGCGGGCGAGCTTTCGGCGCCTAGAAAACAACCCCAAAGCGGCACCGCGAATCAGTCGCAAAAAAGTGCCCGTCGCCAGAACGCTGAAAAAACAGCAAACAACTGAGAGATAAATAAATAAAATAAATTCGAAATAGAAATATAGTAAATTGAGTGACAAGAAAAGCAGCCAAAAGTGAGAGCTGCCGCAAAATCGCTATATTTTCAAAAGGGAAGCAAAAAGGTAGTTAACAATTGTTTATTTTTTTTATGTGCTTGTGTGTGTGTGTCTACTGAGTGTGTGTGCGTGTGGCTGGCAGAATCTTCTTCCTCTTCTTAGTTTGTTTTGCGTTTTTTTGATCCTAATATTTATAACTATTTACCTGAATCAATCAAGGAAACCGCCGAGAGGATAACGAAAGCGCAGCCCCCGGAAACTTGCGACCCCCTCCATCAGTCCATCAATCCATCAGTCCATCCAACAGCCAACTATTCCCGATATCCAGATAATATCCAGATAATAACCAGAGATCCAGGAGCGAAGGGTGACGAAGGGAGTGCGGAAACAGGAGAAGGAGGAACAGAAGGAGCAGGATCCAAAAACACAACAAACCCAAAAACACACACTCCACAAAGATGTCATGGAGATATGCGGTAAGCAGAAGGACAATGGGGAAAAGCGGGGAAAGTAGGGTTAAAAAAAAACAAAAACAACAAAAAGAGTGGGCGGATAAGGGTAGTAATAAAGTGTACAGGACACTGGGAAAAATATCGAAGAGTTTCAAAAAAAGGGCAATACTTTTTGATATAGAGTGAGTAGTTTTTGTTTTAAAAATCTAAAATTAAAAACCGAAATTCGTAAATAATTCGTTTAATTAATACGAAATTTAATAAATAAAATAATAATTTATTTTGTATATATAAAGTAAATTTACCAAAAAAAGGCTGTTTCTTAACCTATCAATCTTCAGTATTTTAAGAGATTTTCTCACCGTGTAATGAGGCGTTGGGGGCGTGGCGCAGGCTGGTTTGTCAAGTGCCGCGTGGCAGACTTTTCGACGCCAGCTTCGGACATCTGTCAAAAACAGCTGATGACGATGGTGATGGTGAGATGGTGATGTCGAGCGATGATGATGACCTTGACTCGCCACAATCTTTGGCCCTGTCGTCCTCCCGTTCTGCTGACCCAATTTGGCCACCCCTTTTCATACCCCAAACCACCACCGACCGCCCACCACCCACCACTTCACCTATAACCCACAACGAACAACAACACATAAAAAATCAGGCTAAGGAAAATAGAATTTGTTCTATTTTCTGTGGCACTGAGGCCTTGGCACATGTGTGCAGCACCACCAACACCAACCACCCACCGCCCATTTGAAGGCCTCTAAATGCAAATGCAAAGTTCAAGTGCCTTTTCAAGGCGTGGCACCCAACCATCCAACCATCCGACCACCCAAAACTATTCCCAACATGTGGGTCGTTAAATAACCATCTTTGTCTCTGGATTTTAACGGGCGATTATCCTGGCATTAACTCGGTTTTGGCGCCTATTTTTTTGGGTCACCACTGCACATTGGCCGGGGTCACCATGGGCATGTCCTTGGAAGGATAAAGGTTTTTCTTTTAAAATTCCAAAACAGCTGCACTACTCCAAAAGATTTATAAGATTTTAGTAATCATAAACAAATAATAATATAAAATAAAAATACCAAAATAAATTTAAAATGCCTAAAAACGTTTTAGGTTTTAGATTAGCTTCAATATATAATTTTAATAGGTAGAAAATATGCTACGAATTTTGTTCAAAAAATGATTTATTAAATTATAACATTTTCCCGATTTTTTAGGCATCAGTAGCCTATTTCAAAAATCAATCATTGCCGCATGACAGACAGGCAACCATAATTTCTGGTCGCTTAAATATGTCATTAAACGGGTGGCCGGTCCTTCCGCTAATTGAAAATAAACCAACGGGAATTAGCCTAACCAAATTAGTGACGCTGCACTGGATTTGATTGACCCAAAAATGCGGATCGGTGGTAATAGGCTTTCAGCTTTCGGCTTCTGTGGGCAGGGCTAAAGAAGATTACTCATACGCCGCGTGGGCCAATTAACTTGATTATAAAATGGAAACAGGAACACAAAGTGTGGGGCCCCAAATCGAATGCAAAAACTTAATGAATTCAGGAGGCAGTGAAGCGAATTAGCTAGGTGGCTCAAATTAATTGCCCGGCTTCCGTGTAATGGCCATTGTGAAGAGCTGTAATAGATATAGTATGTATATATATATATATATAGGTTGGTACTTACTTATAAGCCCCGGAGCTTAGCTAAAATGTCAATGTCATCGCCGTTTTCCGCTGCCAGTGCTGCTGGCTCAGTGTCAAGCCCATCGGGAGCGCTAATTGAACAATCGATAGAGCACTGTATCTGTATATCTGTATCGGTACGGTGTAGACCCACATACTATACCTACATATATTGTATATTGTAGGTAAATACTATATATAGACGTTTTGTGCGCCGATATTGTGGGCGTGTCGCATCGCAGCTGTTGCGCCTGATTGAGCAGAAAGCGAAAGGCAAACGCTTTGAGGTGCACTGAGAGAAATCACTCAGGACCTCACTGAGAAATAGTTTATTCCATTAGAATATTTTCACAAGTTTATAAACTATGCAAGTCACTTACTTTTCATATTTTCAAAACTTACAGAAACAAATACTTAAATACTTAACAGCAAAAAAATAATTCTACCCAAAAAAATTATATCTTAAATCCTAAGTTCATATAATATTTTAAAAAACTTACAGAAATCTTCCATATTTCTCTCTGTGTAGCAGAAGCTGAACTCAAAAGCGGCGACTTGAAAGAGTTTCCCCATTTGGACCGAGCTAGAAACCCACCCAAAATGGGGGAAGCGTTTCTCTCAAGCTCAAGGTCAATCGGCGATCTGCTGTCGGCTTTTGGGAAATGGGAGAGATAATCGTAGATGAGGAATAAATATATGAGGATATTGGTTGTAATATAACCAATCAAAATTTTCTTACCAATGAAAATTTATTGACTTATATTTATAAGAAATAAATCTATAAATCCCTAACCCTTTCAATTCCCACTTCTAAAGCTGCATAAATTTGAGATTCGCTGAATGACAGGCAGACAGCTATTTGATGGGCTATACTCGTATATATCTTTCCCAACCCATAAACGTGCCCGCCTTAAAAGGCAAATTAAGCATCGCATCCACTGTATTGCGCATTTAATTGAAAATTTAGTTTTGCAATGTGGCAAATTGTTTTGTTTTGGCTTCGTTTTGTTGATTTGCTGGCTGCCAAAGTTTTTCGCGCTCAATGTTGGGAAATCAGCTGAGGAATGTCTCTTTTTTTTTGTTCATAATTATATGGGGAATTTTGTTTACATTTTTACCTGTTTTTTTCGGGAGGGGATTGAGGGCATTTCCACATTGGTTCTTGGTTCGTTGACTGTTTAATCAATAACAAAAAAAATAGTTACTGCAGGATACAACTGGCTTGCATGTCAATGCGATTTGCATTTGTCGAGTGCCCAAAAACTATGCAGATTATGCAGATATACGGATATATCTATATATGTGTCACACTTTTATATGTATAGATTTATCAATGCCATTGGCCAGACGAAAAAAAAGGAAAGAAAAGCTTGTAAATTTCTGTTTTGGTCGAAAATTAATTGTTGCTCTTGATTTTGGTTTGCTTTAATTTCCAACATTTTCAGCCGAGCATTTTCCGTTTTCACACTTGAAAAATGATTTGGGGAAAATTTCTGTTTCGCTCTCGTATTTCTATTTCGGGGAATTTCTGTGCTCAAGGCCGAGCAAGTAAATCGCGAATAAATTACAAAAAGTTTTAATAAATATATATGGATGGAAAATGCCCGCAGATGCTTTAACACTGTATTCCAGTATATAGTTTTTGGATGCTTAAAAGTATTTGAGAAATTGTAATTCTTAAAAATGTTTCTAAAAACTATTTTCATTTATTCTAAAAATGATGACTTATTTATTTAATAATAAAAACATTATAAAAAAGTACCCTATATTTTTTATAATATTGCATTTTACTAAAACCGATCCTATACCCTCAAAAAAGGTTATAAATCTAAGGCAACGACATTAAATAATAGAAGATGGCAAGCTCACAAGGCTGACCGCATAATTTCCTTTCACGTCCTTCCTTCCCCAGTTAGTTTAGTTTAGTTTAGTTTATTTAGCTGATTGCATTGTCTAGCCGCCTTGCCGCCCTGCCACATTCCATCCTGCCCCACTTGCGTTGCATTGTGGCATTGTTTTTCCATTTTCCATTTAGCCTGCTGCACTTCCTGCAGATATAGTAGAATAGTAGAAGGCGAACGAGAACGAGAACTGTGTCAGAGGCCCAGAGGTCAAGCGGAGGGGCCCAACTGTTGCCACCTGCTAGCCGCAACATGTGGAGCGGATGTGGGTCAAAAACCCACCGCTGCACCACCGGTGCCAAAGGACATCAATCGCAATCGAAACGAGATTATGACATCCTTAAACTGCAGTGTGTGTAGGAAAGCCCCTCCGTCAAGAACTAGTTTATATCGCTTGGGTGCAATAAAAATGAAATGAGATTTTGGTGCAGTCTTCAGAAAATAAAAGGGGTTAACTGAACCTACTACTATATAAAATATCTATCGACTATGAATTAAAAATCATTATCTAGTAATTTATTTCTGTTTTCGAAATATTTTTGCTTAAAATTGAAAAATTTATTATTTATAGTTAATATTGTTATTTAACAAATAAATTGGGATCATTAAGAAAGATTTTATTTTTTTGATTAAAATACTTTTCATTTTTAAAAACTAAATAAATTAAATTTTATTATTTGTATTAATATTATCTAATAAGTAAATTATGATCATTTTGGCAGATTGCATTTATTTATTTTCATGTTAATGGTTTTTTGTGGTATTAATAATTTTATAGTGTTTTATTTCTGTCTCATAAAAATGTTTCCATCAAATTGAAATTGTTAAAAAAGTCATAAGCGGCCCTCTCACTATTTTCTCCCTACAGAACACCTCTCAGGTATTTTAGCCGCCGTTGAATGTTTTCAATGTGGCTATAATAAGATACGAGAACGCTTTCAAAGTTGCCAATAGATTCACTCACACGAATCGCTCGGGGGGAATATCGGAATGGGAATGGAAGTGCCATATAGATGCCACGACTCTGGTATATCTGGCTATATATCTATCTATATAGACGGGGCACCGTTTTTTTTTCAACATTCAATCATGCCAGTGTTTTCCATTTTCCATTTGGCGTTTGCATTTTGTGTTGTGTTTTGTATCGTATCTGGTATTTTGTGTTTTCCCCCTTTTGGATTTGTCGTGTCCAGCTAATTGTCTTGTCATGCGGGCCTCACATATATTTATATATATATATATATTTTTTTCTTTTTCTATAAACAAGGGGGGGCGTGGGATGAGTCACAGACAACAAATTCGTTGCTGGGTTCCACTTGCTCCAATATATATATTTATTTTCTCTTTACACACACTTTTCGTTTGCTTTGCTTTTCACTGTACATCATCGGTGAGTAATTTTTTTTCTTCAACTTTTCTATCAAGTATTTTTAGATGCAAATCAGTGGGCGGAGAGTGGGCGGTGGGTGGGCGGCAGCGTAATTTTCTTGGCAAGGGGGACAAGGTCAAGGCGCAGCTTCACACTCACCTGAGCAAAAAGCTTTCCCTCTATTTCCGTTTCCAAGTTGATTAAGATATATTTAGGTTCGCTCTTTTTCCGTATTGTATTACCCTTGATAAGAGTTTGTTATTACTTATAGTTTGCAATATTATTTAACAAATAAATTGGGATCGTTGGGAAAGGACTACTTTATTTAATTAAATATCTAAAATATTATTTTATTATTTCAAAAATAAATTGTGATTCTTTCTTCTTTTAACCATATTTATTTCCCTTTGATACATTATTTGTAATCATTTTTTCCAGCTTCTCACAGACAGATACAGCAGCAGCATCGGTGATAGATATAGTCCCCACTATTATCAGGTTTGTCATTGTTTTCGGAAAACAAAAAAGCTTTGCATGAGGTTTTTAAATGTGGCTGTTTATCTGTGTTTCAAAAGTCTGAATTGTGCTGTCTCAAGTGCTAATTTTTTTGGGATATATTTCCTTTGCTGTTCTGTGACACCGAATCTTTCCCAAACTAACCAGAAAACTAATTTTGTGCCATGCAATATAACAATCGAAACCAGGCGAATATATGGGCCACGGCAAAAATAATGCTATAAATAATCGCCACATTTTGTGCGCTTTTCATCAACAGATTTAGAACAATTAACCCACACACACCTTGCGCCGACCAAAGAATCTCAGACGTCTATATATATATAAAAGAAAGCTATATGCCATAGATCAGTCACAATAGATCAACCGATGTTCGGGCAAAATGTTAAAGAACTCTGGCGACAGATGCTTAAAATTTTATGTATATTTTATTTTTCTCTCTCATCGTTTCGTTGATTTTCGTTTTCAGGGTCGCATGCCGCGACAGAAAGCAAAAGTTTCCTAAACGTGAACACCTATCCCCCAATTGTTTACCCCAACCCCTCCGTTCCCAAGATGATGGTATTATGACAAGTCAGACAGTCGATAGCCAACAAAATAGTATCAAATAGGGAAAACAAAATACACAAGAAGAAAGCACACAAAAGGCAAGACAAAGTTTTCACTTTCTGTCCCTGAATTTGTCAGACAACGAACTGTATATATATGTATATATATTTATAAGGTGGAACCCTCTGAGGCGACCTCCCTCTATCTGTCTGATTTGTCATCTTTTGTAACCAAATTGCGACCTTCGCCTTTGTTATAAATCTGCAAGGCTAGGCATTTTATTTCCTGCCTTTTTTCATTCTTCGTGTTTTTTTTTGGCAATTGACACCAAGTCTGTGATGTCATATGAAGTGGGGGGATTCCATTCCTCAGAAGCCTGCCAAAAATGTCCACAAAATCTAATTACCGAACGACTTTTAGGTATTGGTAAATCGATTTTGAAAATCCCTATTTAAATAGTTTCCTTTAAATGAGAAGTACAAAGCATTACAATATTCAAAATACTATTAGAATCCTTAAAATAATGCTTTCTGATTTTCCACTACAAAAATCCGTATTTTGGTCGAAATCAAAATTCTGATTTTCCACCCAAACAAAAATAGTATTTTGTTTATAAAAATATAAATAATGATCCAAACATCGAATGCCATACCTCGTTGAACTCGTAATAAAATCCCCAATTGATTGGCATTTCAACCTGAAAATTTTAAATTTTTGCCATTTTTTGCAAAAAATCATGATGTACCCCTTATCAAAAATGTCAAAAATTGATTTTCTCAAATCAGGCAAAAAATGAACTGAAAATAATTATTTTCTCACTACCTTCTCAAAACAGTACGCCTTTTTTATTTGGGACCATTTTTGTCCAAGTTACAGTTAAAACCCTAAAAGTAAAATCAAATTTTAACCAAAAATAAAAATCATGATTTTCCACCTAAATATATTGAAAATCGATGTTGTTTTATTTTCATTATTTTAAATCGTAGGTACTTCGAGTTCCCTGAAACGAAGTAGTTTTTAAGTGCCCAAGGAGCTTTATTAATTAAGAGCTTTTTACTAAAACCTGGTCAACCTGTGAATTGTTTTAGTTTTGTGTATAAACCAGTGTTCGCCAGCGGAAGCAGATAATAAATCGTTTGTTATCTGGAATAATTGTAATTTTGTTTACTAATCTATTGTGTATATTTTTGATTGCTTTGCAGTCGCCCAGCCGCTTGGAGACCTCCGAACAGACCACTGGCCGCCAGCTGCAGCGAGTCCTGCACTACTCGATGGCTCCTAGCCGGGCACTTCCAGGACTCCGCCGGGCCGAGTGCGCCATCCACGACGTCGACTGTGATGAGGTCTATCCGGGCATCTACATTGGTGATGCGTAAGTGCTTAAACAATATACCCCAAGGAAAGAATTCTATAAAAATGACATAAATTACTTTATCCCAGTGCGGCGGCCAAAAATAAAACGTATCTGAGAATGATGGGCATCACCCATGTCCTGAATGCCGCCGAGGGATGTCGCTATGGCCAGGTGGACACCGGACACAGTTACTACCGGGATATGCCCAGCATCAGGTAAATTATACGATCCGAATAATACCATTTGCTGAACCGACAAGAGGCAACAACATGAACAATCGAAAGGAATGCAAATTCTTGAAAAACTTTCGCTCAAAATTTGTTCATATTTTGTTTTGAATCGCATATAGTTTTTTTTATTTTTTAATTTGATTTTGCACTACACGACTTATGTCACACATTTCGAAATTTCTTTGAAAAAATCTTCCTATTTTTCTTTCTCTTTTTTTGTATCTTTTTCTCCACACTCGTAAATACCATTTTTGTATCACTCATTGTATTCATTGTACATTTATCCACTATATGGCACTCAATAATCATATTATCCATACATTATCACCTCGATTTTGGCTCAACTTTGCTGTTGTTGCTGTTTGTTGTGTACTGTGTGTGTGTGGTTTTGTTTGTGCAATAGACGCAACCATAAGGATTGTGTTTTTAGGTACATGGGCTTCCCCATGGTCGATGCCCCAACGACGGACATCTCGCGGTACTTCTACGTGGCCTCCAAGTTCATCGACAGCGCCATCAGCAGCGGCGGTAAGTGGTGAAGTAATGGGTCTAGACTCGAGAGTAAGCACTTGGTGACCCCGAAAAAAATTGATTTGGCGAGATAAAAAGAGATATAGACTTTGGTGACCCCAAAAATCAAATTATTTTTCATTTAGGTGACCCAGATCTATATTTTTAAACCTATATTAAATTAACTTGTTAGTTAAAGAATTCACCTCAATTAAATACGAGTTCGTCATAAGATGTGACCCCAAAAACCGAATTACTTTTTATTAAGGTGACCCAGACCTTGAATTTTCGAACTATATCAAATGAATTTGTTAGTTAAAGAAGTCATCTCACTTTAATATGAGTTTACCATAAAATGTCAAGTTTATTATAGGGAATATAATCTCTACGAATTTAAATTAAAGATAGAATTCTTTTTGGTACATTTAAATTTACTTGGTATATACCAGCTTACTCTGAATTGCCTTAATGACAATCTATTTAGAACTTACGAAAATAAATCCCTACTAATTCCATTTCCAATCCAACAGGCAAGATCCTGGTCCACTGCCTGGTGGGCATGTCCCGATCGGCCACCTGTGTGCTGGCCTACCTGATGATCTGCCGGAAGATGTCGGCGGTGGACGCGATACGCACGGTGCGGATGAGGCGCGATATCCGGCCCAACGATGGATTCCTGCAGCAATTGGCCGACTTGGATATGGAGCTCAAGCGCAAGAACCTGTATCCCTACTAGCGGGACTCTCGGGGGAGCCTAATGATACAACCAAAGATCCAAAACAGAGAGGAATTCGGGGGAAAATCCGACAACCAAAAACAAAAATTAAGAATATTATTATGAAAAAAATGAAAATTGATAATGAAAAATGAAAATCGTTGTTCTAAACAAAACAAAAATTGAAGCCTACAAAGCTAACGACTTATAATGGTAACTTGGTCTTCTGATATATAAACTGTTCATCCCCAAAACTGTATAATCGCGGCATACCCATATTGTAGGACTAATATACACATATATACATCTATATATATACAACCAGCCAGAAGGGAATCAAGTTATCTCCACTCTCACGAAAAGAAAAGAAAAACAAACACTCACTCGATAACACACACACTTAGAGACCTAGATTGGTAGAGCCACGATCGAAACAATATACGAGGCGATCGACCTATATACCTTGCCTATACCTAGAAATACAGATTTATATACATGTATTCCGGACCCACATCTAAGCGTATTTTTTCTAAGGCTCATCTGTGTTTGCGTTCTGTTCCACATCCCCACAACCCTATATCCATCCCCCCACCCATATCTCTATCCCCAAAAGCAATCCCTAATCTTCCATCCCCAAGATACTATAAGAAGAAGAGCTGAAACTAGATCATGAACAATGTTTGCGGACACAAACGTAACCAGATGCATATATATACTGATATATAACTGTGTAACGGATATACAAGCATGCGTTATATACACCTATACCATATATATATACATATATATATATATATACTATATACACCAAGTGTGGACAATGTAATAAAACCAAATTCATATTTTCTAGAACATGTACGATGTTTAAGAGCAGACGAAACAAATAACTAAACCAAATCAAATGAGCAGAAAAAGTAACTAAAAACTAAAACTATACTTAAGAAGTGATTAATAATAAAAAAAAATCAAAAACGAAACAAAAACAAAATAAGTGGAACGATTACTTTTGAAACCAAGAGATTTTAGGGTTATGGGATTTTCGGGAATTATTTTAAATGCATTTTTTATTTTTGTACATTTTTTTGTTGTTTAAGATATAGATAAATATTTGTATTATTTCAATAATACACAAATTTTAGATAAATTAAAATTTACAGAAATGAAAGTCAACCGGAATATAATACGCAATAATAATATAGAAAAAATTTCTTGTTATTGAGAAAAGTACCTCTGAACCTCAGTTAAAATATTGTCTATAAAAGTGGAAAAAAATCAAATACTAAAACGCTTCCAGTTCTTAAATCACTTGGACCTCTTGGTGAAGTGTGAAGGAAATTGAATTCGATTTACCCCCAGTTCCCACCCATTCCCCGCCGATAATTCCGATGGTGTTGTGGGGTCTCGGGCATTAGATGCGCCTGCTAACTGCCTGGAAACACCTGCAGAGGCAGCTTCTTATCGAGGCTCTGGACTCACCAGGCTCACCTCCGAGCGTAATTAAAACAGATGATATTGGCTACCTGGAACTGGGGCTGCTGCTAACCGCATAGTTGACCCTAATTTGGAACTATCAATAACCGAGGCGAACTGACCCAAAATAGAGGAGAACTAGAGGAGAACGAGAATCCAACGATCCACCACCGCAAGATGGCCCAAGATTTCGATCGTGCGCACAGTCAAAACAATAAAATTAATGTCTCCGCTGGGGTTCACGGGGTTCACGGCTATGGGACCAGGGATCAGCGGGTGCCACTTAAGTGATCCCGAAATGGGATTCCTCTAAACCCTAAACAGGTAGCAGTTGTTAAAAGTCGTTGAACAACAAATGGAACAACACCGTTTCTTTCGAGGTACAATCACTTCTGCCAGCCACAAGACTACAAAACTCGAAAGGCAGTCGGTTTAGAGTGCTTAGATGGCATACTAGTCTAAGGGAACTCGACTTTGGCTGATACGATATCGAAGAAAAGTGGTATGCGGGGTGCTAATACATTCAAGTGTGTTATAAATACTAAATCAATGCACTGTGTGTGGCGGGTAAGCTAAGGTAAGTGTATTCCACAGTCGTGGTGTAGCTGCTACCTCTATGTTTCTTGATCAGGTCAAATGGCAAAAGACGCGATGTCCAGCGGCGTTGTTGGTATTTTTTGGGGGAGTGGGAACGGCTAAACTAGTTTCTTGGTTTCCCAGGCCTCCAAAGTAAGCTGCTGAAAATCATTTTTCAAAGCCCACACTAAGACCCGCACTTCATGGAACAGCTGGCCCCCTGAGTCCGCGATAGAGACCATATACATAACCATATCCCTTCGCTCCAGAGGGTGACACATTGGCAATCCGGGAAGGAGTGGGTAAATAGATGGGGACTCTATGCATGGAGCACATGAAACAATTATTATTATTAATAAGTTAGTTTTGCGCTCCACGTGCCACCACCACCACCACCACCCTGTTCCTGTTTCTGTTCTATCGTTCTTGCGAATTACGTTATAAGATTAAGCATGAAAAATGTTACGAATACTTTCCTCTCTCATAATTAATCTTCATCTGGCCCTTCATGTGTGTGAGGTGTGAGGGTTTTCGGAGGGGGTTTGTGAAGGATTTCACATGCAAAAGAGTTAAATAATTATAAGTACACACACTATTCAAGGGGAGTAAGGGCGACAACCCTTTGGTACACAGAAAAGAATAAATATTTAATTATAAATAGAATAAAAAAAGTCATATTTCTATAATTTTGATATGAATAAAGATAATATTTATCTTATTTAAAAATTACTACATTTGGTATTTTTATAAGTTATGAAACGATAAAATATCCAGTTTATATGTTTAAATCAAAAATTTGACATTAATCATATTGGCTTTTTATTAATATGAAATAAGGTAGAAAAAAACCTATTTCAATTCGATCTTTTTTCGCTCGAATAACATTTCTTCCCGGTGTATTTGCTCCTCTGCTCCCCTTTCGAATTGTCCTTTTAAGCTCTACAAATAGTTGATGGCCCGGCAGCTGTGTCCTGGCGAATCAGGAGCAGATAGATTGCGATGGTGAGTCCAGGTTTCCGTTGGCACAGGGGGAATTACCTTGTTACGGGTTTGTTTGAGCACCTGTAATTGTTTACGAAACCTGCATGTTATGTTATTTATGTCCTTGCACTCACAGATATCCCTTGGATTTCACTTGGCTGTGTTTTATTTTGTTCATAACTTGCATGTTTTATTTTATAAAAAATATATAATTTTATTTCCTTTGCCAGGAAACCCCAAATAATCAGATCAAAGGCTAAACTTTTGAATTCTTTTGGCATAATGGAACATTTAAGCCTTTTTCAATGGACTGCCGCATTTGCTCGCATATATTTTATTAATATCCCTGCATTCATTTACACACCCTGAAATGCTCAATTGAAAACGTTTAATTAAATTTACCCACAAAATAATAAAAGTTAAGGAAATTCCAATTCATTTTTACACTCCAGCGCTTTGTAAAGCGATTTTTGTTTTTTTCTCCGTTTTTTTTCGGAATTATTAATGAGCTCAGGAGCTTTGGGAGTCGCAGCAATTTGGATGGGCTTACTACGACACACAAACTCACGCAACTTAAGCAAATATTAAATGCATTTTCGGTTTGGTTTTCCGAAACGAAACGAAAATGGGCAAATTCCAAAAGGGAAAAAGCCAGATGGAAAATGCACAGAGAGATGGGAAATTTGTGGCTGCTCGACGGAGTGAAAAACAATAAATAATGCAGCCAATTAAAACTTTGGCTGTTTGGCTTCAAATTCAACACCAACAACAGCAATAACAATGCGTTTTGGAGGCAACAACAAATGAACAAGTGAACAAATACAACAACAACAACAAATGCAATAACAACTAATTGACAAACAACAGAAAATTGAATGCAATAAAGCACATGTGGGTTAACTTATACAGTATGTATGTATAAATGGTTTGGCACTATTTCGATGCCAGTTCGATATATGTTCGTTCCCTAGATATATGTAAGATATATACAGGAGTGTGTAAGGATATATGCTATGTTATATGGTCGGTGTGATGTGATGGACAGACAACAATCAATTAAAAAAGGGAAGTACAAACGGAGTAGTGGAAATAACTGGACTAAAAGATACCCAGTAGTAATGGTTGGTAATTTAAGACATTATAAAATGCATAGTTACATTTATTTTAAATATACCAACCACAATTAAAAAAATAAAATAGTATTAAAAATACTGAATATGTATTTTAAATGTTTTGGTCTTAAAAATATAATTTTTTTATTATTTTGGATTTGGATTTGCATATATATTTGTAATATTTTCTTTATACCATTTTATCATATTCATTGTTTCATATAAACTAAGTAAAAAGAATGGGTTAAACTTGGCTTAAAAATAAATTCGAAAAAAGCTCTTAAATTTCTCTGGTAAATTAATAGTCCCACCCCTTTCCAAAAAGGGTATCGAATAAAGGAGGAAAAAAAACCGGAAAAATCAATGCAATTTGACAGGAGAACACGGCGATGCAGCAACAGCAGCATCATCATCATCTGACCGAGAAAAAGAAATAAAACCAGCTACATATGTGCGTCCAGCCTCTCGGCTACTCGAAATTATTATTATAAACTTCTTCACTTTTAATGGAATTGTTATCAAAACACATTAAAAACGACAGACAAGCAGAATGAGTGAGTGGAGTGATGTGGGAAGAGGGGAAGGGCGGGGTGCTATAAAGGGGGGCGGAGGGCGTTGGAGCGGCAAAGGGGGCGGGGCAAAGGCAGTGGAAGCTGGACGGACACGCAACCCGAACGCATCGCAACGAGAACCAATCAAATGCACTTTGTCAATGCCAATTCACACAATAAATCTACAGCCAGATAGCAAAGTGCCAGACAAGGCCGAGGGGCGGGGCGGGGATGGGAAGGGCTCGAGGGGGGTCTTCAGATATGCACTGAGAAAAAAAATTAACAGCAAGGGGAACCTTTGATTAACTTTAATATCAGTCAGAAATATTCAAAGGTACAGTTACTTTAAACGAGTCGTATTAAACTATTTATTTTTGGTGACCCCGATTTATCAATATCATAAACCTATATATAAAACATTTTATATATACATATGTGCTTTATGGTATGAATGTTTTTTCTAGGTAAAACTGATTTAGACATTTTTAGCTCCCAACGTATTAAATAGTTTTGATTTGGTGACCCCGACTTGTTAACTTTTATCATTATCAAACTTATATTTCCGATTTTCAAGTATTTAGCAAGCAGAATATTCGATTTTTATAAGTTATTTAGCTTGACAGATATTTCGCTTATATTATCAATTATTTTTCTGAGTGCAGCGTGGAGTGGAAGAGGTGGTAAAATGGGGATAGGTGCTGGTTTGACAGAGAGAAGAGCAACAAAAGAGCGAAACATGAGAAACGATTTGGTGGAGAAAAAAAAAACGATCACCGAAAAATGAATGCTAACTTAAGCGCCAAGCATTAAGGCTAAAAAAAGAAAAAAATACCAGCTATTATATATCATTGGATGTCATTGTGTTTCAATATATTATTTCAGGCACCGAATATAACTATTAATTGTATTTTTTCAACAAAATAAAATCAACTTAATCAAAAATAATGATGGAACTTAAAAAAGATTTTTAGTGTTGAAAACGGTAAACAATTTAACAAGAATTAAGTAATTTTTCTTAAAAATAAAGATCGTATATATGTTAGAGTAACATTTTTTGCATTTTAGGAGGTCTTTTACTTTTTTTTTTATTATTTTCTTAAGCTGGGATCCAAAACCATTGCCAGACATTGACCCCGAACCGAATGATAGCCACGTGCCCCAAGGCTAAAGGAGGCTGCCACATGGCATGGATTTGGTGGAGCTTTCTACCTGAGACGAGTCCTCGAAACGGAGTAAATTGCGACCACGCCCTCTCCCACCTGGGGGACGATCAGCCTGCTGACACCTCTAAGTTCTTG